GTACGATTTTTATTAAACTGCACCTTTTATAGTTTTGTTCGTTGAGAATTAAAATGGAGTGTCCAAATCGCAATTAATTTTGTTATGTTTGTGGTTTATATGTAACTGTGAAACATGTTCGTAATATAACTAAAACCTTAGTTCTTTCGTTTCAGCGACAGTTTAAAACCAATTACGTTTCGTAATGGTACGCCCCCGAAGTGGTATGCACGTACTGCTATAGGTCATTATGTAAAAAATTTTTAGGGATGTCAACTTTTAGAAAATAACCGGTTATAGGTTAAACCGGTTTTTATTAATAAGGTTATAACTGCGGAGGTTTAACTGAACGTAAATAACCGGTTTTTTCAATAACCGAACAACCGGTTTTCATACAAAAATTGCACTGCGCCTCAATTTTATTTGATTTTGAAAAATATTTCCACACATCAGACATGATGCCTGCAAATTCTTGAAACAACTAAACTGTGGGTTTCACCGAACCGCATATCAAAGTCACCAACAAAAATTTGTTAGGACGGTTATTAATAATAATAACTTATTATTTCAGTGATAGATGGCCCATGTTCGTTTTTACCGTTACAGAAGATTTCTTTTTTCAGTTGTCATGGTAACTAGCAGACAGTTCTGTTAACTCTATCGAAACAACGACGAATCTATTTTAAATAAAATTACCAAAAAATTTTTTTTGTTAATATTTATATTTAGTATTTAAATGAAATTATAATTAAGTGAAATATAGATTTCATTAAATTTACTACTACTGAGCTATCTTGCGTTGAATGGTCAAACTATACAAGGTATAGGAAACTGTAACAATCTTGCAGAGATGCCAACCGACATTGTGGCACCTAAACTTTAGGTAGGTTTTGGTCAAGGATGATAAAGTGACTAAACCATTGAAAACATTTTCATGTAGTGCACGCAAAATAACAAGAATTGATGCGGTTTTTTTGGCCGGTTATTGAATTTTAAAAATAATCACCGGTTTTAACTGTATTAAAAAAAAACCTAAATAAACCGGTGTTACGAAACAAAATAACCGGTTACTCGGTTTAACCGACGGTTTATTGACATCCCTAGTAAAAATAATGACAAACAACCCGGTAGTAAATACCAAATACCTACTATTTGGTTACCCCGTACAGAGCATTCTCCGGAATTGTGTTACTTTTGTCTGAACGAAACAAGGAGCTTTGGTTATAAATATGAACACCGCGAAAAAATCGCCTACGTTGAAGTTGAATCTGTAATCCCGTTGAAATTGAATCTGTAAACCCAGTTGAAAAAGAAGCTTGGACATCTGCTGTTAATGTCTTTGAAAACTTTCTTGGTAACAATCGAGCTGAAAATTATATAGAAATTGTGCAAAAAATGATCTATGGCAATATGGGAGTATTAATGTCATTAAAAATTCATTTTTTGCATAATCATATAGATTTTTTTCAAAATAATATGGGTGATTACAGTGATGAACATGGAGAAAGATTCCACCAAGACATAGCTTTAATCGAAACTAGATTTAAAGGTAAAAATTTGGTGCACATGCTCGGTGAATACTGTTGGTCACTTTGTCGTGAAACGGCAACAAATTCACTAAAAAGAAAAAATAAAAGGCCAAAATTTGAAAAATAATTGAGTTGTATCAAATATTTTTATTAAACTAAATAATATCAGACAGTTTGTTTAATTGTATTCAGCGTTAAAACAATTTATATGGTAGTATTGGTTTTTTACTTTTGAGTATTAAAATTTTATGGATGTAATAATAAAGTAGTTACAGCCTTATGATTATGTAAGAGTTCTTTAAAATGCACTTTAAGAACATTTGTAAGCTTGAATAAAAAAAAATAACATTAATATTTAGTATGGAAACTTTCTACGAATTATCTTTAAATTTTGTGTTTCAAAACCAAATAAAAAAAAAATTTGACGTGTACAAAAAAATCGCCGATACACGAGTCTTTTTTTTTATCGTCTTCTATCCGATTTTTCAAGTTTCATCGATGCGGGCAATTTTGTGTTGTACGGTGTTATATATTATATATTATATATTATATATTATATATTATATATATATATATATATATATATATATATTATATATGAGTACCTTAGATGCAAAACTCGGTTTTTGCAAATTAAAAAATAAAATAAAATTGACTTTAAATTCTGTTTAGTGTTCGTCCTAGATAAATGGCGTTCATAAAACTTGATACATAATAATATTATATTATATATATTATTATGTATCAAGTTTTATAAACGCCATTTATCTAGGACGAACACTAAACAGAATTTAAAGTCAATTTTATTTTATTTTTTAATTTGCAAAAACCGAGTTTTGCATCTAAGGTACTCATATAGGTTGAGTGGTATACATCTAGATTATTTCTCGAATTAAAGGATACTATTTGACAATTCGTAAAATCTGACGTATGTGTCAAAATTTATAAATATTTTTTTTTAAGAAAATTCCAATAATTTAAGATATGTAATAAGTTATAATTGATATTTCGTAAACTAGATAACTTATTTTTTATTATTTTTTTAAAAATGTTTGTTAAAAATAACACCATAAAATCGTAAACAAAAATCCAATATGGAGGCTAAAATTTAATCGCTGTTAAATAGTTCTAGTGATTTAAACGCTTATTTAAACGAAATTTATATGAAAATTCAAGGCTTTTGATTGGTTCATATTATAATGAGGGAAATAATCATTTCTAAATTTTTTAAGGAAGTACACATTTCCATTAGGTTTAAATATAAACTATAACAAGTAATTTTAACTTGATAATATTTTGTCATGGGCTGAATATAATATTTGTAATAATATCAATCCCTTACCCTCAATTGTTCCAACATATTTGATTGACTAAACTTTAACTTTTATTGGAGAAACGAAACAACCAAGGAAATTCTCACATCGCAAATTCTGAGATTATTCTCTATGCTTTTGTCGTCAACTTTCTTTATAACCTATGTAGGTGGAGGCAAGATTCAACTATGTTTTTGCTACATATAAATGTTATATAATTGTCCACTCTACCATGTTCAGTAAATATTCTTAAAAATATTTAATATTTAAAGAGGGAAATATCTATGTTTTAAAGCTTCTACCTAAGCAAAACAAATCAGGAACTGGCAAGGCAAAAATGTCAAATATGACCTTTTTAAAGCGGAATTTAAGGAGAGAGCACTTTTATTAAATAATTGTACGGAAAATAAAAATGCTGCTGTAAAAATAACAAACACACGTATGAATCTTTTGGCCGCACAATATCGTCGTTTTTTTTATCCAAGTGAGCACAAGTTTCAAAACGTATTTACGTCGGTATACGTGCCGAGGTTCCCAGGATTTTGCAACAGCAACCATTTTCGAAATCTCGCTTAACCGCACAATAGCGACCAGGCCCCACTATTCATATCTATACTCGTTGAGAATATCAAACCGTACGATAAAAGATGTATCAATTCGACGGATTCAATAGCGAAGATATTTATCATTATTCCGAATGTTCGATTATATTTGATTGTGCTTGTACTTAAGAATGATGTTAGAAGAATCTCTTTATTCAGTGTACAATTTGGTTATAACAATCTTGTTGATTACACAGTACAACACGATTTTCCTCCCATGAACAATTTTAACAGATTTTAAAAATAAAGGTTAAAAAAACGTACCCTTATAGATCTTACCGTTTCACGAAATCACGTCATTTAATTTTTTTTCACAGCCATTCTTATTATTTTAACCTAAACAGATTTTTAATTATCTATTTTGTTATAAATTTTTTTTTTTCTTCAAATATTTTTTGTTTATACATAATACAAAAATTGTACTTAAAGAAAATAACAATTTTATTTTTTTAAGTAAAAAAAATATTTCTGGTTTTAATTTTTGATTTTTTTTATTAAAACAACAGATTTGTATTTATCTTATATTAAATATATGTTGGAAACAAATCTTGATCTTCTAGTATGACGATTATACATTGCTTTCGATTCTATAGTGGTATCACAACCTAAAAACACCACTTGATATACAGGGTGTTTCATATTCGTGGTCCATTGGAAGTTTCTGGAGAACGTAAAAATATAGATTTGAAATTAATAGCGTTTATAATCCAGTTTATTTTTTTAAATATTTTGAACAAAATACAACTACTGGTTTGATCGGAAGTGACATCAACTTTGTTATTTAAAATAGAACACCCCATATATTTTTACATTTTTAAATTCTACATAAAATTACTATACCATGTCCTATACCTAAAGTGAATAGTTTTCTAGATGTTTGCTATTATGTTTACGGGTATAGGGGTAAAATGTTTGGAATCTAAAAACATTGTTTAAAAAATTCCATGTCAATTCTTTAACATTTTTCAACAAATTACCCGAGAAACCCCAGGGCAAATTGGGCTAACTTGAAACGTTAATAAATTCGGTCAAGCCGGAAGTGGCATTTTGTATAAAATATTTTAGAAAAATAGGCTGAATTGGATTATAAACGCTTTAAAAATTTCAAATCGATATCTTTTGCCGTTCCTCAGAAACTCTCAATGGACCACGAACGTGAAACACCCGTTTTTCGTAAATGTGCAACACCCTGTATGTAATTAAAATGATTTTAAAATAAATAAATAATCTTAATGGTTGTCCGTTTATTCAGCGAATAAATTTTTCATAAAAGTATACTGTGTAGCTGTTATCGAATTTGTTATATTATGTGCCGAATACCGTGGATAACATTTTATTGGATCGCACTTAAAAAAAAATGACGTGATCTGTAAAAACGAGACACGGGTATCATTTTTCAAAATCTATAGAAACTTTTCATGGGAGGGAAAAAAATCAAATTTTGTCGTACTGTTGAAAATAAAACATCTGGGTAGTTTCCTCATGGCTTTTGCTAGTTCCTTCCGGAGGAAGAATTAAAGGCAAAGCCACAAAATCGAAAAAAGTGAAAGTAAAAAAATGCATTTTTATTTCAGACGAGTCCCGATCGTAACACCACCACTAGCGTGCTCACATTTGTTCCCACAGTTGAGGATGGTGGTAAATACCTATCGTGTCGAGGACAGCAACACCAAATTCCAGACAGCGGTATTGAGGACGGTTGGAAGCTCGACATTTACCGTAAGTTTTTTTATATTAAATTTATTTAATTTACTACATATGGAAGCATTTTCCATGGAATGTTGCTTTCTTGTAACTTAGTAAGCTCTTTCTTCGTAATGGGTAGTTAAATTTTTTCTGACCTATACTTTTTATGGTTTTATTCAAGGCGTTTTGTAATATTAAACATTTCTGTGAAATCAGAATTTCAATTGAGTTTACCGTTTTCGAGATATTTACAAAAAATATAAATTTTTATGACGTCACAAACCTCGCCATGTGACCAACATTCTAAGATTTCTATTGGTTGAAAATTACCCTGTTGTCAAGTTGTCTTGTTAATGATTTCATTCGGTTATGTCGGAAAATACCCGAAGAGGTTATGTACAAATACTGTCACTGTCAGTTGAGTGAAAGATGGTCACCAAATTCATTAAGTACCTATCTTCCTTATTACGAGGTATTATATTACTGTTTGATATTTTAGAGTCCAAGATATATCTAAAAGAATATAAAGAACTAGGCATTATACTAATGAAATGCATTTACGACAAAATATGATTATAATTATAGGTACTTACTTTATTTGTTTAAAAGCTCCAATGTTCAATGTAACCAACCATTCCACAAGATTCCTCTGCTTTGGAGTTCGTTATTAATAAATCACTTATCTAATATCAATTACAAATAACATAACAATAACATTGATTTTCAATAATCTAAATTTAAAAAAAACATAACCCGAAAAAAAGAAACGTCAAAAAATCAATTCTTCTTCTTCTTCTCAACTAAAATTATAGATCAAGTGGTTTTAAAACTAAAATATTATAACGTGGCGCCATCTATCGTAAGAATCTTAAACTAAACACACTGGCAACCATAGAAAAAGCTGGCAGGGGCCGAGGATGGCGCAGTGGGTTAAAGCTACAGAGCGGTAATCAATCTGCGCCTCGGTACCGGGTTCGATTCCCGGTCACAGCCTTGGGTGTTGTGGTTGTTTTTAAGACCATAAAAATATATAATAATGAGCTGGCTAAATAGTCGAAAAGACTAAAAGCCAATAAACCTTAAAAAAAAAAAGCTGGCAACGTTGTCAATAGCCTAGTGACGTAATTAGGAGATTTTTTTTGTAAATATCTCGAAAACGGTAAACTCAATTGAAATTCCGATTTCACAGAAATGTTTAAAATTACAAAACGCCTTGAATAAAACCATAAAAAGTATAGGTCAGAAATAATTTAACTACCCCATTGTTGCTACAACCTGGTTGAGAATTAGAACAATTTGGTTCAGGAATTGTTCAGTATTTTCATTGCACAATCGTTTTTACTAGATATGGATTCTTCAATGTAACCTTCTGCTACACTTCCTATTTCCACCCACCATGGCATTTAATTATCAATTAGTAGATCGGTACCTTCATTGTCATTGGGAAACATTTCTGATAATGTGGGAAGAAGAGAGTTTTGCAAAAATTCCAAATACGTTTGTCCTGTCATATTCTCGTCAAAGAAGGAAGAACCTTTGATCTGATTTTCCACCATTCCAGCCTAGACATTCACTTTTTGCCGGTATTGGGAATTTACCCAATGAGGATTTTCTGCTCCAGTACTATGCTCCACACCTCAAAGTCCCACCACGTGACCACGTACAGAATGCAGTCTTTTGAAAATTTAGCATTTAAGGCTTTTCAGGTTATGTATCTGTCAAAGTATAGTCAATGAAAGAAATAATATTTATAGTGTTACCGCTTATGTTTAAGCGTTAAAAGTTAATAAATCTTTATAGTATCACAATAACAATGGTTGGTTTAAGAGTTTAGGAATAAAAATACTGCATTTAATGAAATTCCAAAGTGTAAGGTGCAATATAAATTATATTTTTGTGCATTGGGTCTACATTTCTTCATAAAATAGTTTTAACTAAACAACATTTATTTAAAAAAATCTAACTTCTCTATTATAAAATAAGAATATCTGTATCAAAGGTAGGTTAATGTATAAGAACAAAAAATAACATCTAATTTTGTATTTTAAGGTTAGAAAAATCTATTTTGACCAAAATAAATAAGTGGATTATTTGAAAGAGTGTGTTAATATGGTCATAAATAAATATAGGTATACTAAATAATTGTTGAATATAGTTGAAATTAAATTGAAGCTTTTATACATCTAACGACAAAACTTGTGCATACCTCTCGGCATACTTACTTTAAGTTAGATTATAAGAAAACAAACAATTTTTAGAGAAACTTGCAATGTGAAAATATTTAATACTCCCATGACATGTGATTTATTAAAATTTTTAAAGTTATAATGATTTTTTGATGTAGATCAAATTCAGTCGAAGCTTTTTAACTATTTGTATTGACAAAACTTTATGTAGGTACACTTTAAGCTGGATAAGAAAAACTACCACATTTTTAAATACCATATTATACAGTCTTTTAAATAATTTAAAATACTTATTTATTTTGGTCAAAATAAATTTTTCTAACCTTAAAATTACAAAATTAGATGATATTTTTGTTATAATATATTAACCTACCTTTTAATACAGATATTCTTATTCCATAATAGAGAAGCTAGATTTTTTTAAATAAATGCTGTTTAGTTAAAATTATTTTATAGGGAAAACAAGATAATTGGACCAAATGCACAAAAATATTACTTATTTGGCACCATACACTTTAGAATTTCATTAAATGCAGAATTTATATTCTTACATTTTTAAACCATCCATTGTTATTGTAATGTTATAAATATTTATACATTTTTAACGTCCAAACATAATATTATTTCTTTCGTTGACTATACTTTGACAGATACATAACCTGAAAAGCCTTAATGCCAAATTTTCAAAAGACTGCGTTTCGTTTGTGGTTACGTGGTGGGACTTTGAGGTGTGGAACTTAGTACATGCAATTTTAATGGTTGACTGTACTATTCAAACAGAAGATAGCTTTATCCGAAAAAAGTATTTTACGAGAAAAGTGTGAATTATTGTTACATAAATTCATCATAGTTTCACAAAATTGTAGTCTACGGTCCGAATCATCTTCGAAAACGATCTAGGCAAAAAAATGTCACCTCCATGTTAACATTTACACCTACTATCTTTCTTATTTAATGTATTCAAGGTATTTTTTTTAAATAAACGAAAATTTAAATTGGCGAACTTTTAAGTAAAACCGGTCGTGGCATAGAAGAGACAATACAAATTTAATAACAAAATTTACTTTATCTCAAGTAAGCTCCATGTAAATTTACATTTCAAAACTAAAAGCGATGCAGCCGTAATAATCCCGCATTATCTTTTTTCCCTCTCGTCTCTCCTTGATAACGCTAATTTTTTGTCGGTCTTTTAACATGAGGCAAGGCTTTTGTGCACGTAAAGTTTTAATTAAATTATAATGTTACATGAATTCGCTGAAAGAGGTGAAATTGCCTTCCTAATGAATGTATCCTCGGATGTATTAAATCCGACTTTTTGAAACTGCACCAAAATTGTTAAACGAATTTATAAATAGCTGCAAAATTTTAATGGCCTGCGTGATTTTTCGCTTAAATTGAGTGTTAACTTAAAAAAACCTCAAATTTACCCGCTAAAATAAAATAGTTGCATAATTTATATTATGTTCCTATTAAGTTTTAAAATATCCATAACTTATTTACGATATTAGATTTTCAGTTTAATATCAAAGGTTAAATAGATTTTGTAACGTTATAACTTTAGATAAAACGTATCTCTTTATAAAAAGTTAACGCTTGAGTTGACATAAACTCAACACAATTATTTATCCATCAATTACAACTTGAAGAACAATAACAAAATGAACCAAAATAGTTACAAAAACTGCTAAAAATTTGTTGTTCTGTTTATTCTTGTTCATTTTAATCTGAAGTCCAAAAAACAAGAGATTTGATGTGACCCCACAGAAAAAAATCGAGCGAGGTTAAATCTTGGGATCTTGGTGGCCATGGTGTTAGCCCTTTCCAAACTATCAACTGAGCCGTTGTTAATGGTGATGCTCAGCAGCTATATGTGGATTTTCTAAAGAAAAATAATGGTTAGGGTTTAAAAAATTCATATCTTGAAAAATTCGCATCATCAGTCCACAAAACATGGGACAAAAATGTAGGGTTTCCAGCCACTTGTTGCAACAACCAATTGCAGCAAATTACATGCAGTTGTAAATCATTTGGTAATAGAGCTTGTATCTTAGTGCATCTTCAATTATTTCGTGTAGGATGTTCTTCCAAAACTTGATTTTCTATTCTGAGGAAAAGGACGACTGCGGTCTGGACCTGCAGCTGTTACAAGATTTCCTGTAGAAAACATTCGGTCCTCTAGTCTGCTAAATGCTTATATCGTTTTTAGAATATTTTCATTATTGACCCTAAACATCAATACTGAAGAAATTCCGCAAAAAGTCCTGCAATAGTGGCCTGTGCAGTAGTCACATAAAATTTGCATGAACAAAATAGAACAAGTGTACAGCGACGCCCGTTTAAAAACTCTGGGAATCCAGGCTGACGTCGCGACGCGTCGTTCCGGGCCCCCTTTGTTTAAGCGAAGGAAAGCCGAATCTGAAATGCAAACGCATTTTCTGTCTATAACAATAAATGAGAGTTTTTAATTGCTCATTTCTGCTGTTCTCTTTTTCTGCACTCTTTTGTTGCTTGTTCCATTTGCACTTTGCACGAGCTTGCAATCGCGAAAATTAAATTAGGTTCATTTGTTAGCTACAGAATGTGTAGTTAAAAGAGGAAAATAAAAGTTAAGGCGTGTTTTAATTTCATTGTTTGCTCCTTAACGATCTAAATCGTATGCATACATGTAGTTTCAAAAATTTTAATGATGTTGTATATTATGTATACATTTAACGCAATAAATTCTTTGACATTTAGGCAAAATATTTCCCTATTTTGGTTTAATAGTATACTATATAATTATAATTAATTGAGCAAATAACAATTGAGATTGCTTCAATTTTAATGCATTCAATGACAGCGCTGTTCTTGTTACTATGTTAGATTTTTTTCTGTGTAGGAGACATTTTTTGTAGAGCGTTCAATTTTCCACAAGAATATATATCGCGCATAAAAATCTGCTAATTAGTTTGTGAGCTAGAAAATTATAAAGAAACAAAACAAAATTTCCCATGTTATTTAAATGGGAAACAGAAATTTTCGATGCGCGACCTCTAAATATAAAAATTAAGAGCTTCGGTTTTCACAGGTGTCTTTTTTGGGTACGGTGAAAAAATTTCAGTGCAAAATTTTAGAAGAAAATAATAGTTAATTTTTTTGAACCAGCCTAAGCCATATACTATAGTAGTATTATATAAGGGGATATTTAATAAAGCACTTTTATGTAGAGAAGTGCTTTATTAAATACAAAAACTAAAATTATAATGTTTTTATGGTAAAAAGTAAGATTTTTTGAAATTTTTGTGTCGTTTTTTTTAATTACTAATTAAATTGAAAAATCAACAAAGTAAATGGGTTTTGGTAAAAGCATTACTTTTTGACTTTTATTTTATATATTTTTTATTCACATCATGCCTAAAGTACCCAAAAATTTAATCTCTAATCTTATTTATTAAGTCTTATCAAAATTTAATATCGAATTGAAGTATAAAGGCGCCTTTATCTACTTTATCGTTCAAGCACATTAAAGTGACATTTAAAATTTAAACTTTAAAGTGATTTTAAGAACCAAAAATTAAAAAAGAGCAGGAAATGGAAGTGGTAATGGAAGTGGTAGATAAAGGAGACGAACATTTATGTCGTTGGAAATTTGTTTTTTTTTGTTGCGGTACCTTTACGCCCAAGAAAAACCAACGCAATATTTCATTACAAAATTTTATGACATATACCTACTACTTTAATTTTGCAGGAATATTAAATGGACCTGATATACGACGTTTAATGAAAGATCAAGCATTCAAAAATTCTCTCAAAGTTGACGAGCTTGTCGCATATGGCAGTGTTAAAGCTGTCATTGAAACTGTTCTTGGTTCATATCGGGCCTAAAATTGGCGCCAATTTTTAAATTTTTAATGAATTAGCGTTATTATGTCATTAAAAATACATTTTCTTTTTTTTCATCCTGATAAATTTGCCGAACTGATGAACATGGAGAACGATTTCACTAAGTAACTGCAAATCTAGAGCATTGGTAGATATCTATGGGTATAGCGGAAAGAAGTTGGATTCATTGCTAGGAGACATTTGCTGGAATTTGCAGCAAAAGATGTACGACGATGATGAGGATTAGGCACAATAATACTATAATCCAATTCGATATTTGATACGATTTAATAAATTTAAGGTAGAAAAAATCAAAATTATGCAATGCATGCTGGTTCCTAGAGAAAAAATAATGACATTTTTGAAATCAGCGGCCCAAAATTAGTTAAACTAAGCTGGAGTACTTAATGTTAGTAAAAAAAAAGTTTGTAAAACTATCATAGTGTAATAATAATAATATAATAAACTGGATCACTTTGTGGTGGTTAAATCAAAGGGGAAAACTTCGCAAAAGCAGTAATTGATGCGCCCATAAACATCGAATGGAAATGAAGAACCGCACACTGGTTAAATCCGCACGCCAAGTGGGCGTATAATGCTCGATGACTTTATTATACTTATGGTGAGGCTAAATTCGCCCGAAAAGCATCACGAGCAGATTAAGTGGTCAGTTTGCGGCCATGATATGAAATGCATTAAGCGAAAATTATTTAGTTAAATTTACATCAAAGTTACCAATTGCAATTATCTCTCTATTTTACGTTTAGTTCTAAAAGGCAGGTTCTAGATTAAATTAGTTTTCCATGGGGTGTTTAATTGTTACTAAATGGTTTTTATGTTATTTTTAGGGAAACCCTTCGTAAGGTAATTAAATTATAAATTCAAATAAATTTATATATTCATTGAAAGTTTTAACATTTCAGAAACTATTTTAATACGTGTAGTACAGGAACGTCACACTTTGAGCCAAATTAAAATAGTTTGCCATAAGTTTTAGCATTAATAAAATAATAGACCAGGGTCGATAATTTTTGAAACCAAAAAAAATAACAGTAGGATGAAACCCATTGGAAGAGGAGAAGAATATAATAAAAATGAAAGGAAAAATAAATTACGGGCGATCTGAATTCGGGAAGTGGGAGGGGGGGGTTTAAGGGTAAAAAATGGTTTATCTCGAAATATTTTTTGTATTTTCTGAGAACATTTACCAAAGTAATGTATATTTTTTTTTACACCATCAGAAAGTAGAGATTTCAACGAACAAAAAGCACACCGACTTTTTGAAAAAAGCTGATATTTTGACGCGAGAATTTTCGATTGAAAATTAGGGTGCTTTTTTGATATTAAGTCAAAATAAGGCGAAATAATAAATATTTCAAATCAAATAAATTACAGTGTATTTAGGACATAAAAAGGTAAGTTTTCACCAAATTTCGTAAAAAAATTTTTTTTTTGAAAAAGATAAAAATAAAAAATCAAAAACTTGGTTTTTTGAATTTTTCACATAAATTTTGAGGTTATGTAAAAAAATTGTTATTACAAAAGTTGTAGATCCTTTTATTACCTACAACTTTGCCATTTAACTTTTTTCCATAGGACTTGTAGTTTTGCCGGAAATAGAGATAAACCATTTTTTACCCTTAAACCCCCCCTCCCACTTCCCGAAGTCAGATCGCCCGTAATTTATTTTTCCTTTCATTTTTATTATATTCTTCTCTTATTTTTTTTGGTTTCAAAAATTATCGACCCTGGTCTATATTGTGTTTTCTGATTGATTTTCCAATGTTTAGAAAAGTAATACTCATGTAACATTTTTTCTTAATTATAGATGTTCCCATGGTGAATTTGGAACTTGGAAGCACTCTTAATGGAAGCACTATAAAGGAGGGAGTAGACGTATACTTTGAGTGTAATATAAAATCAAACCCGTGGGTATACAAGGTTACTTGGAGGCATAACGTAAGTAGACATAACACAAAATTTAAACAAAGTTAGTTTATAAGATCTTGTTCATTTTGAACTGCCCAATAACAGAGAAATTTGATGTGGCCCCACAGAATGCCCCATTCATCCATACTCCTAATTGGACATCACATGTTCTGGATTGCCCCTAAGGGAAGAAGAATGGGGTAGTTAATTTTTTTCTGACCTATACTTTTTATGGTTTTATTCAAGGCGTTTTGTTATTTTAAACATTTCTGTGAAATCGGAATTTCAATTGTGTTTACCGTTTTCGAGATATTTACAAAAAAAATCTCCTAATTACGTCACTAGACTATTGACAACGTTGCCAGATTTTTCTATGGTTGCCAGTGTGTTTAGTTTAATATTCTTACGATAGATGGCGCCACGTTATAATATTTTAGTTTTAAAACCACTTGATCTATAATTTTAGTTGATTTTTTGACGTTTCTTTTTTTCGGGTTATGTTTTTTTAAATTTAGATTATTGAAAATCAATGTTATTGTTATGTTATTTGTAATTGATATTAGATAAGTGATTTATTAATAACGCACTCCAAAGCAGAGGAATCTTGTGGAATGGTTGGTTACATTGAACATTGGAGCTTTTAAACAAATAAAGTAAGTACCTACAATTATAATAATATTTTGTCGTAAATGCATTTCATTAGTATAATGCCTAGTTCTTTATATTCTTTTAGATATATCTTGGACTCGTAATAAGGAAAATAGGTACTAAATGAATTTGGTGACCATCTTTCACTCAACTGACAGTGACAGTATTTGTACATAACCTCTTTGGGTATTTTCTGACATAACCGAATGAAATCATTAACAAGACAACTTGACAACAGGGTAATTTTCAACCAATAGAAATCTTAGAATGTTGGTCACATGGCGAGGTTTGTGACGTCATAAAAATTTATATTTTTTGTAAATATCTCGAAATATCTTGAAATTCTGATTTCACAGAAATGTTTAATATTACAAAACGCCTTGAATAAAACTATAAAAAGTATAGGTCAGAAAAAATTTAACTACCCCATTCAAGAACATTGTTTCCATTTAACCTGTCAGGCTATGTAGATTGGTCCTATAAGCTCAATACCTCAAATGTAGTTCATCTGCAATACCTCTAGTACTTCGTGTAGGATCTTCTTTGAAAACTTCCAAAACTTGATTTTATACTTTAGGTGTTAAAATAGGAAAAGGACGACCTCGGTCTAGACCTGCAGCTGTTACAATATTTCCTGTAGAAATAGCTCGGTCCTCTATTCCTTTAAACACATTTACACTTGGATACCTATTATTCTGAAATCGACATAAAGGTTTTCAGCTTTTAACCCATTTTGGTGGCATTTGTCCAAAATAAAATAAACAAAAGTCAATATGAAGATTATTAAATTTTGTTACAGGGTAACTGTTGTTATCACAATAGAAAATACTTTTATCCGAAATCGGCAGTAAAGTAGTCAACAATCGGCAGTGAAGTAGAACTTTACTGCCGATTTAATACGAGTATTGTATGCAACCCATTATACATTTTAAGATGTGTCTACTGCTCCTGAGCAGCAACTAAATAATATTTAATTAAAAGCACCGTTTCGGAGGTCGATTGGACCCTTTTTAAAATGTTGTTTTTAATAAAAATAGTTAATAGTTAATTTTATTAATTAAATTAAAAAATCACCGCGGCGGGCAAATATATCATAACCGTCGCAACAAACAGTATACGTTGACACTTCCTACATTCAAATGACATTTAATCATTAATATTAATTATTAGTATTATTAAATCTGATTTCGGATAAAATTTAATATGCACCTCGGCATTAAAGTCGTATTTTTTATCACTCACGTGGTTATTTGCCTCGGCTTTCGCCTCTGCAAATAATTTCCACATAAAAATACGACTTTACTGCCTTAATACATACAGGGTGTTATGTAATTAATGTTATATATTAAAATGGGTTGTTCCTTAGGGTCCATAAAGAAGCACCTGAAACTTTTTTTTTCTAAATTCCAAAGTCTAAAAATAATTTATAATAACCTTTATCCTACCAAAAAGTACGCCACTGATCGACTAGGAACTTTAGGTTAATCTGGTGGATTTATTATGTTATGGTTGGTAACAACAGTGTTTGCAAAATCTCTCAAAAAAGTTGACAAACATTGTTTAAATTTAGCTTAATTACAAACAATGCAAATTGTCAATTTGGCGTTTTTATTAATTGTTGGTTGTTTCATTTTTGTACTGAAGGTAAATTCAAACAAAATCTGCCAACTTTTATGACAGAATCTAGTGCATTTCTTTTAAATTTTAGGTTATGTTTTCAAATTGTAAATATCTTAACTAAGTGAAGTCCTTTTGGATTTATTTACACAAATTAAATGTTTAAAGTTTAACCTGTGAACTGGTCCCAATTGCATCTGAGTAAACAGAGAAAAAAACTGATGAAAAAATTAAATTTGTGGTTATGGATTTCAAATTTCAAAGGTACTAAGTTTTCTAATCATTGCTTAAGCTAATAGCTGGATCAGTAAATAAATACAGAAGGGTATTAGAGCTTTAAGGGCATAAAACTTTTGTATTTATTGAGTTTTTATTTATTTTTTGCAAGAAAAATTTTTAGTAACAATTTTTTACATCTGGCAACGCATAGCTACTTTATTGGTTGGTATCTATGTACTCACAAAATACAGGTGTGCAGAGATAAACAATTGTGTAACCAGTGGCGTATCACAAAAAATATAAAAAACTTCTAATGCATATTTTTTCTTTATCTTTGGAAAAATGTTTTTTTAAATATTTTTCCTTTATTCCTTATGTCAAAAGGTATTCGGTATTTTAATATATAACATTAATTACATAACACCCTGTATATACATAACTATTTTCTTTATCAATAAATTTACAGGGCCAGTAATACATTTTGGGCAATTGTCCCAAATTCTTTATTTAACTTATTATAAAACATTTTCTTTTTTCCCAGGGAAAACAACTGTACAACAACGCCCAAACCAATACGATTGTGAGCAACCAGAGTTTGGTTTTACAGTCCATTACGAGAGCCCGTTCGGGACACTACACGTGTGTAGGTCACAATCGAGAAGGCGACGGCGAAAGCAATCCAATTCAACTAGACGTCAAATGTAAGTTCACCCTTTTGCACTCACCGACTAGGTAATTAAGTGTTCAGGCAAACTGTTACAAGATTTACCTGACAAGTTTTGGCTGCTTTATCAAAGCAAGTTTTTGTTTTAAATTCTTAAATATGTAACATAAAGTTTAATATTGCCTAAAAATATATTTTTGTAATATTCTTTAAACTATTAAACTGTAAGAATACTCTCTTGAAATAAATTAGTCAAAAATGACAGTAATATTCTAATATTGTTAAAAAATTGCGACTAATTTATAGAAAACAAAATTCCATTCAATTCAACTGTGTGGTGATTCTACAAAAGTTGGGCAACTTTTGACCTCATTTTGTTTACATAGTTTTCGGAGAAAATTAAACATTATTTTGTTGTGAGAACATAGATAATATAATAAATATACTGTTCCAGACCGGGCCAGTCACTTTTTCAAACAGTTTCTGAAATATCTGTGTTTTCTAAATTTGAATGCAAGGGAAGTGACGAGTATACCAGGGTACTAATTAAATACATAATTTATTGGAAAATATAAGATTTATTGCAACTTTGAGCATATTATACATTAAATATCTTAAAATCAAATAATACCACACATCAGTGGCGGCTGGTGGATTTTGGGTATACCGATATCTCAATTATTAGATATGGGATCCACACCAAATTTATAAGTTTATAATGACATTAAATAAACAAGTTCTGCGCAAGCAGAATTTAAATTGAAGTTTGCGAAAAAAAGATAACCGAAACATCGAACATGGAACTGACGACACGGTACTGATGAATGGGATACAAATTTGAGATTATAATTCGGAATTAAATATTTTACTGATATTTTTTATTAGTGGATGCTACTTATCAACAAATCACATATAGCCTTATATAAATTACAATGAAATATATATACATAAGAAATAACTACTCACCACAGTACTGAAATTTTGACTGGAACTATACGTGCATTCACCACAACTTCGCCGCTTGCATTGTTTTCAAGATGACTGTCGTGCAAAAAGCGGGCTTTGTAGGTAATTTTTTACCAACACGAGTTAAAACGAGGACTGGAATCTATGATAAAATATGAAAATAAAACCACTCAAATATTTGATTCAGGAGTTGTGACACGCCAAGGTACTGATGTTTTGAATATTTATTATGTTTTTCTACAAATGTACTTTTGAAAAAATACAGTAAAATTGGGTGGATAAGTTAGAAAAACCTGGATATTTTGTGATATACTAAAATATTTACAAAAAAATTAAAATACTTACTCTATCAACTGATGACATCAAGTTGTCCAACTTTTGTAGAATCACCCATATAAAAATTTTATTTAATTTTCTAAAGAACAGGTCTGAAACCCATACTGCAATAAACCAATTAAAATAAAAGTTACCAACTGTCGTATAAAACCGATATAGACAAAAAATGAGAGAAGCATCTCTCAAAGTTCTGTGTGTGCGTGTATACTTATATGGATGTTTGTCGAAAGTAAACTGGAGTCAAAAGTTTGGCCATAAATCAACAAATAAAATAGAAGTTTATTGTGAACAGAATTGTTGACGGAAGTGGCGGTTCCACATATAACCGCCAGAGGACTTAAGCTAACAGCGTTTGAAACAGTTGCCTTGTAGTTAGTAACCAAACCTCCATCCGTCTGCCACACATCCCTAAATATTTAACATTTGGATCCCTTTGCTTTAAAAGATGTTTCAGAAAATGCTGATATCCAAAAAGTTTCAAAAATCGCGAATGCGCCGGGATTAATGCTTAATTTTACAAATTATGTTTTTTAGTCTTTTCCAGCTAATAGATTAAGCCCAATAATTATAGTATACAGATAGGGGCACAAATAAAAAACAAAATTCATTTTTAATAAAAGTTTTGGGTGGATTTTAAACCCCCAAAAATATGCGACCCATTATTTTTATTGTCTATGGTTAATTTGCACTTTTGGTTTTTCTGAAAAAGTAACATAAACTATGAGGTTTGTACAAAAATACGTATTTTTAAGGTTACCAGATTCTTAAAAAAATTTTATGAATTTTATTTTTTGACAGAATCTAGTAACCTTGCGGATTTTGTATCATTTTCAGAAAATAAGAAAAAATGGCGTTAAATTGACAGATACATAACCTTAATTATTAAAAACAAATTAATTATTTACTTTTACTAATAATAAAGAATAAATATTTTCATTAAAAATATAAGTACTGTTGGTTTTATTAAAAATTATTTCTGGGACACCCGGTATATTATATTTGTGATTAACTACATTTTTACCAAAATATGTTTCAGAAAATGTTGATATCCAAAAAGTTGCAAAAATGGCGGATGCGCCGGGATTAATGCTTAATTTTACAAATTATGTTTTTTAGTCTTTTCAAGCTAATAGATTAAGCCTAATAATTATAGTATACGGATAGGGACACAAATAAAAAACAAAATTCATTTTTAATAAAAGTTTTGGGTGGATTTCAAACCCCCAAAAATATGCGACCCATTATTTTTATTGTCTATAGTTAATTTGCGCTTTTGATTTTTCTGAAAAAGTGACATAAACTAAGAGGTTTGTACAAAAATACGTATTTTTAAGGTTACCAGATTTTTAAAAAAATTGTATGAATTTTATTTTTTTGACAGAATCTATTAACCTTGCGTATTTTATATTATTTTCAGAAAATAAGAAAAAATGGCGTTAAATTGACATATACTTAACCTTAATTATTAAAAACAAATTAATTATTTACTTTTACTAATAAAAAGAATAAATATTTTCATTAAAAATCCAAGTACTGTTGGTTTTATTAAAAATTATTTCTGGGACACCCTGTATATTATATTTGTGATTAACTACATTTTTACCAAAATATGTTTCAGAAAATGTTGATATCAAAAAAGTTGCAAAAATGGCGAACGCGCCGGGATTAATGCTTAATTTTAAAAATTATGTTTTTTAGTATTTCCAAGCTAATAGATTAAGCCTAATAATTATAGTATATGGATAGGGACACAAATAAAAAACAAAATTCATTTTTGATAAAAGTTTTGGGTGGATTTCAAACCCCCAAAAATATGCGACCCTTTATTTTTTATTGTCTATGGTTAATTTGCGCTTTTGATTTTTCTGAAAAAGTGACATAAACTAAGAGGTTTGTACAAAAATACGTATTTTTAAGGTTACCAGATTTTTAAAAAAATTGTATGAATTTTATTTTTTTGACAGAATCTAGTAACCTTGCGTATTTTATATTATTTTCAGAAAATAAGAAAAAATGGCGTTAAATTGACATATACTTAACCTTAATTATTAAAAACAAATTAATTATTTACTTTTACTAATAAAAAGAATAAATATTTTCATTAAAAATCCAAGTACTGTTGGTTTTATTAAAAATTATTTCTGGGACACCCTGTATATTATATTTGTGATTAACTACATTTTTACCAAAATATGTTTCAGAAAATGTTGATATCAAAAAAGTTGCAAAAATGGCGAACGCGCCGGGATTAATGCTTAATTTTAAAAATTATGTTTTTTAGTATTTCCAAGCTAATAGATTAAGCCTAATAATTATAGTATATGGATAGGGACACAAATAAAAAACAAAATTCATTTTTGATAAAAGTTTTGGGTGGATTTCAAACCCCCAAAAATATGCGACCCATTATTTTTATTGTCTATGGTTAATTTGCACTTTTGGTTTTTCTGAAAAAGTAACATAAACTATGAGGTTTGTACAAAAATACGTATTTTTAAGGTTACCAGATTCTTAAAAAAATTTTATGAATTTTATTTTTTGACAGAATCTAGTAACCTTGCGGATTTTGTATCATTTTCAGAAAATAAGAAAAAATGGCGTTAAATTGACAGATACATAACCTTAATTATTAAAAACAAATTAATTATTTACTTTTACTAATAATAAAGAATAAATATTTTCATTAAAAATATAAGTACTGTTGGTTTTATTAAAAATTATTTCTGGGACACCCGGTATATTATATTTGTGATTAACTACATTTTTACCAAAATATGTTTCAGAAAATGTTGATATCCAAAAAGTTGCAAAAATGGCGGATGCGCCGGGATTAATGCTTAATTTTACAAATTATGTTTTTTAGTCTTTTCAAGCTAATAGATTAAGCCTAATAATTATAGTATACGGATAGGGACACAAATAAAAAACAAAATTCATTTTTAATAAAAGTTTTGGGTGGATTTCAAACCCCCAAAAATATGCGACCCATTATTTTTATTGTCTATAGTTAATTTGCGCTTTTGATTTTTCTGAAAAAGTGACATAAACTAAGAGGTTTGTACAAAAATACGTATTTTTAAGGTTACCAGATTTTTAAAAAAATTGTATGAATTTTATTTTTTTGACAGAATCTAGTAACCTTGCGTATTTTATATTATTTTCAGAAAATAAGAAAAAATGGCGTTAAATTGACATATACTTAACCTTAATTATTAAAAACAAATTAATTATTTACTTTTACTAATAAAAAGAATAAATATTTTCATTAAAAATCCAAGTACTGTTGGTTTTATTAAAAATTATTTCTGGGACACCCTGTATATTATATTTGTGATTAACTACATTTTTACCAAAATATGTTTCAGAAAATGTTAATATCCAAAAAGTTGCAAAAATAGTGGATGCGCCGGGATTAATGCTTAATTTTACAAATTATGTTTTTTAGTCTTTTCAAGCTAATAGATTAAGCTTAATAATTATAGTATACGGATAGGGACACAAATAGAAAACAAAATTCATTTTTAATAAAAGTTTTGGGTGGATTTCAAACCCCCAAAAATATGCGACTCAATATTTGTATTGTCTATGGTTAATTTGCACTTTTGATTTTTCTGAAAATGTGACATAAACCAAGAGATTTGTACAAAAACATTTTTAAGGTTACCAGATTCTTTAAAAAATTGTATAAATTTTATTTTTTTGACAGAATCTAATATTTTATATCATTTTCAGAAAATAATAAAAAATGGCGTTAAATTGACAGATACATAACCTTAATTATTAAAAACAAATTAATTATTTACTTTTACTAATAATAAAGAATAAATATTTTCATTAAAAATATAACTACTGTTGGTTTCATTAAAAATTATTTCTGGGACACCCTGTAAATTATTTTTGTGATTAACCCTTTATAGGGCAGAGACCATTAATTGTTATTTTTATTTATTTTTTGGTAAGACCTACCTATTTTGGATGTCTTAAGTTATTTTTATGATTATTTTGAAAATCCAACTGTTTTTTTTTAATTTATCATGGTGGATAAAATGGAAACCACTGCCTATAAGATGATAGATGGGCGGTGGTCTAAATGCAAACCACATATTTAAATTAATCGTTTTTTTTTGCGTTTCTGAAAGGATTTTAGTTTTTTTTTCAGGTCCAGGTAAAATAATTACATGGTGTGTGCTATAAAAAATCAAATATTTGTTTTCAAATTGTTCACTGTCATTATTCTTATCTGGAAACGGTTTTAGTAAATTTTAATTTCTCAAAGTTTCTTCATTTTTTGATTCTACCTACTCTTGTGTTTGTGAGTAAGTTACAGTGGCATTTCTGTGATGCATATTTTTATTTTTATTTTCAATGGTCAATTTTCAAAAATGACCTACTACTGGTAGTTTTCTCTGAATCTGATGAGTAATCGCGATACTGAGTCATCTGAAAGAACATCTGCATCAGAGTCACTTTCACCCCTAAATCTATTCAAAATTTGTTTTCTGAAATATATGTATACTGGATGTTCGCTCACTACGATTACGTAGGCTGGATCGTGCTGAAGTATTGGCAGAAGTAACTTGTAAACATGAAGATGTACTTGGTGAATTCAGACGAAAAGTACTTGGGGACTCTTGATGGGCTATCGCCCTCAATCTCCGAATCCATAGCCTGATCTTCTTTTATACCAACAACTAGATAAAATAGTTTACTTAAATCCAATTTTTCAAAAATCCAAAAAATACTGGACGTTTATAAGCATGGATTCAATAGTCTCACGGTATGGGAACTTGATAGATGTTATGTTGCAAAACGATCTAAATATTTCGTTAGCGCTAACCTATTTTCCAAGTACTATTATCACAAGTTGTAAAGCATTTAATTACCTTTTGAATTATGTGTGTTGTCAGGTAAAACAAACATGCTTATGCTCGCTAGCAGCAACAATTACTGCAAATGTTACTTTTTCGCAATTTTGTGGGAACAGGCAATGGTTAACATAGAGACCACATTGGTTCTAACAATTGCCAAATTTAAATTGAGGCCAATATGATACCCACTGCACATTATGAGTTCATTTATTTGTACTTTGGTCGAAGTTTGGGTTCTCTCTCATTTCTAAGTAAGCTGTAATGGATGTGGTTAACATAGAGACCATTAACCTATAAAGGGTTAACAACATTTTTACCAAAATATGTTTCAGAAAATGTTGATTTTCAAAAAGTTTCAAAAATGGTGGATGCGCCGGGATTAATGCTTAATTTTATAAATTATGTTTTTTAGTCTTTTCAAGCCAATATATTTAGCCTAATAATTATAGTATACGGATAGGGACACAAATAAAAACAAAATTTATTTTTAATAAAAGTTTTGGGTGGATTTCAAACCCCCAAAAATATGCGACACAATATTTTTATTGTTTATGGTTAATTTGCACTTTTGGTTTTTCTGAAAAAGTGACATAAACTAAGAGGTTTGTACAAAAATACGTATTTTTAAGGTTACCAGATTCTTAAAAAAATTGTATGAATTTAATTTTTTGTACAGAATCTAGTAACCTTGCGTACTTTATATCATTTTCAGAAAATAAGAAAAATGGCGTTAAATTGACAGTTACATAACCTTAATTATTAAAAACAAATTAATTATTTACTTTTACTAATAATAAAGAATAAATATTTTCATTAAAAATATAAGTACTGTTGGTTTTATTAAAAATTATTTCTGGGACACCCGGTATATTATATTTGTGATTAACTACATTTTTACCAAAATATGTTTCAGAAAATGTTGATATCCAAAAAGTTGCAAAAATGGCGGATGCGCCGGGATTAATGCTTAATTTTACAAATTATGTTTTTTAGTCTTTTCAAGCTAATAGATTAAGCCTAATAATTATAGTATACGGATAGGGACACAAATAAAAAACAAAATTCATTTTTAATAAAAGTTTTGGGTGGATTTCAAACCCCCAAAAATATGCGACCCTTTATTTTTTATTGTCTATGGTTAATTTGCACTTATGATTTTTCTGAAAAAGTGACATAAACTAAGAGGTTTGTACAAAAATACGTATTTTTAAGGTTACCAGATTCTTAAAAAATTGTATGAATTTTATTTTTTTGACAGAATCTAGTAACCTTGCGTATTTTATATTATTTTCAAAAAATAAGAAAAAATGGCGTTAAATTGACATATACTTAACCTTAATTATTAAAAACAAATTAATTATTTACTTTTACTAATAAAAAAGAATAAATATTTTCATTAAAAATCCAAGTACTGTTGGTTTTATTAAAAATTATTTCTGGGACACCCTGTATATTATATTTGTGATTAACTACATTTTTACCAAAATATGTTACAGAAAATGTTGATATCAAAAAAGTTGCAAAAATGGCGAACGCGCCGGGATTAATGCTTAATTTTAAAAATTATGTTTTTTAGTATTTCCAAGCTAATAGATTAAGCCTAATAATTATAGTATATGGATAGGGACACAAATAAAAAACAAAATTCATTTTTGATAAAAGTTTTGGGTGGATTTCAAACCCCCAAAAATATGCGACCCATTATTTTTATTGTCTATGGTTAATTTGCACTTTTGATTTTTCTGAAAATGTGACATAAACCAAGAGGTTTATACAAAAACACGTATTTTTAAGGTTACCAGATTCTTTAAAAAATTGTATGAATTTTATTTTTTTTTGGCAGAATCTAGTAACCTTGCGTATTTTATATCATTTTCAGAATATAAGAAAAAATGGCGTTAAATTGACAGATACATAACCTTAATTATTAAAAACAAATTAATTATTTACTGTAACTAATAATAAAGAATAAATATTTTCATTAAAAATATAAGTACTGTTGGTATTATTAAAAATTATTTCTGGGAGACCCTGTATATTAACTAGCAAAATTTAACATTCTCAATTACGTAATGACATAAACTACAAACCTTTCAGACAACCTTATTTATTTATCAAACATTTCAAAACTTTCAATATATTAAATAAACGTAGACATGAAAAATTGTATTGTGCATTTTCATGTACCGAAAGATTAATGGTATATCGGGACATTAAATATGCATAAGATATCTCCGATAGAACTAATAGATCATGTTTATATTCATATTTGAATCTCTAAATAAAATATGATATATGTGTAGTAGTAATGGCTCATAATGTCAGTTTAACAATAAAAAATGTATTTTATTTGTTAATAGTGATGTTTTTACTAAAAATACTTTTTTTAGTTACCCCTGTATGTAGGCCAGGACAGGCTAAAGTTTTCGGAGTTGCTAGGCAGGAAGTAGCCCGGATACCCTGCGAGTTGGAAGGCAACCCAACCGACATACAATTCGTTTGGAAGTTTAATAATTCAGCTGGTACTTTGGACATACCGCAAAGTCAAGTTTTCACGGAAAAAGCCCGAAGTGTTGTTTCCTACAAGCCCATGACTGAGTATGATTACGGTACTCTTCTATGCTGGGGCAAAAACGAAATTGGAATGCAGAAGGAGCCCTGTGTCTTCTATATCAATCCAGCAGGTAAGAATGAAATCTAGAATATAATTTTTTATATTATTATACTCTCTAAAAATGAATTAAATGAAAAATGACTAATTGTCATTGCGAAAAAACAGCCTCTAATGATCCTCGTCAATAGCAATTTGTATCCCGAACATTTAGTAGTCAAAAGTATAACAGCTGTTAAATGTTTTGGATACCATGGTATCCTATGGTTACCCATGGTATGAGTGAAAAAGCAAACTAATTTTTGACTAATTAATTTTACTATGATAGTTCGAATTACTAACATTGAGTACGCCTATATTACCTAATTTTGGGCTGCTGATTTTAAAAATGCCACTCGTTTTGCTCCATATCATGCCTAAAGTACCCAAACATTAAATCTAATATCGAATTAAAGTATAAAGGCGCCTTTATCTACTTTATCGTTCAAGCACACTAAAGTGCATGTATTAATCATTGAAATTTAAAATTTAAACTTTAAATTGTATTTTTACTTTAAAGTGATTTTAAGAACCAAAAATAAAAAAAGAGCAGGAAATGGAGTGGTAATAGAAGTGGCAGAGAAAGAGAAAGGAGACGAACCTTTATGTCGTCGTTGTAAATTTGTTTTGTTTTTGTTGCGGTACCTTTACGCCCAAGAAAAACCAACGCAATATTTCATTACAAAATTTTAAGAGATAAAACTAACACTTTAATTTAGCAGGTATATTAAATGAACGTCGTATACGTTTAATAAAAGATCAAGCATTCAAAAATGCTCTCAAAGTTGACGAGCTTGTCGCATATGGCAGTGTTAAAGCTGTCATTGAAAATATTCTTGGTTCATATCGGGCCTAAAATTGGCGCCAATTCATTGAAAATATGATATCCGTTTTGTGAAGAATTAGCGTTAAAACGTCATTTAATAGTTATTTACGTGTCAAGCTTTGTAAATGAATCTTTACAGTATAGATTATTTGCGTGACACGTACAAACTTTTATTTTTACCTTTAGATAACGATTTTCAAATTTAAAATTTTAATTAATATGTCAAATGTGACATTTCATTTCATAAATTGCTTTTCTCGATTTTTATGTAAGAATGTCATATTCTCGCACGCAAAATCGTTGAAGAATGAAGCTCATTCTTAAACGATTTTTGGTAACATTTAGTTTTTAAGTATTGGTACCCCCAAAATGTCAAACTGTTTAATAACCTCAAATTCATTACTTTTAGGATTATTTATAATAGCTTTGTTTGTTATCCTGCACTAGTGCAACCTGAACTACACTTTTATTGAAAATGAAGCCTTTATTATTGTTTTGTTATATTAAGTTTGCTCCAACAATGCATTTTAATGCAAAATTTTAAGTTTAATGTGAAAAAGTGCAGTTCAGTTCTACTTGTGCAGGATAACAAATATTGACAAATAAATGAGCCAGACAGGTCAATCAAACTATATTTTATTGGAAATATTATATACCCACAGTACACAAAACACAAAACTACTATAAATTAATCACTAGCACAATTGTTATAAACTTTTATTGTAATGTTCAGTGTTGCTTGTAAAACCTCCTGTGACATTTTTCACTGCTAAAAGTAAACACAATTGTTCAAAAATATCAGAAAACATTAAAAAATAATACAATACTTACACAAAACCTTATTATCCAGTTGACAAATACAGACAGATTATTAATAAATAGTAAATAAAAATAAATCTACCTGTCCATGCAACTGTCATTTTGTGTTGCCAACTGACATTTTGCAAGAAAAATCTCCCAACTAACAACGACCACAAAACATTTAAAAAAACCTAAATAAAAGTTAAAATCGAGAAAATAGTATAAATCACACGTTGCAGAAGGCTATTCTCGCACTCATTCGTTCGTCCACTCGCTCCTTCGTCGCTCGAGGCCAAATTTCGAATTCGTGCGAGAATATGTGGCCTTCTGCAACTTGTACTTTAATATACTATTCTACAAGCCTGTAAAACTTTACAGGTCTTTTATACAAGCCCGTAAAGTATTACAGGTCTGTTCCCATAATGTATCGTTTACTTGGATACAAAAACAACACAATTAACCTATAAAATGTCATTTACTAAGAAGGTGGAAATAAAATACATTTTCTTTTTTTACCCTGAGAAATTTGCCGAACTGATGAACATAGAGAACGATTTCACCAAGTAACTGCAAATCTAGAGCATTGGTAGATATCAATGGATTCATTGCTAGGAGACATTTGCTGAAATTTGCAGCAAAAAATGTATGACGATGATGAGGATTAAGCACAATAATACTATATTCAATTCGATTTGATACGATTTAATAAATTTAAGGTAGTAAAAAGCAAAATTATGCAATGCATTAAATTTTGTGGGCTTAATTTGGATAAAAAATACCGAAACTTGTTTACTTTGTTGCCCTTTCAATTCAATAATTAAAATAAACGACAAAAAATGTCAAATAAGGTTGTTTTTTTACAAAAAATACATTAAAATTTTAGTTTTAGTATTTAAAATGTCATATTGTTAAGATAAATATGATCTTTTTGCCGTATACCAATTACTTCAGTACATTCAAGATAAATTTAAGCCAAAATAATTTAATAAATAATTAAATTACTAACAAAAAACTTACATTTTGAGGTGATTGAGAGCATTTTATTACGAAATTATTTTAAATCCTAGACGTCCTAGTAACATTTTTTAAATCAGCGGCCCAAAATTAGTTAAACTAAGCTGGAGTGTCAATGTTAGGAAAAACAGTTTCTAGTGTTTTTAGAGAGTAGAAACTATAGAACATATTTCTTCCAGTTTAGAAAGACTAATATTTTGTTGAATGTGTTTAATATGTTAAATTTTTGATATGCGTTTTTCGGGTGGCGGTTTTTCCTCTATAAAACATATTTGATTGGTTAACGGGACCATTAACTTTTGTTTAATAAATCGAACGTTCGAGCCAGTCAGTTTCCATTTAATTTGTTTTTTATTCCGTTCTGCAAAACGAAATAATCGGGCGAAATGAAGCGTTCATAATGAGAGTAAATCACATAATTTCCTTTTATACATTTCTGCGGAAGGCAAAGGCACAAAGCGAGCGAAATGCACGACGAGAAACAGACAGGGAAACATTGAACGTGGAATGCATAGAAACCGTTGTCGTCGCATCGGAAAAGCAGATAACTTTTAATACTCGACCTTATATATATAAAATATTTTATTAAAGTCAAGTCTTTTTTTGAAATTAACATAAAAGAAACAGTCGCCTTAACTATGGTTTCACGAAAGGATCGAACGGTCGATTTGCAAGGGTTCAAGAAATCGATTTTTTACCTTATTTCTACATCTAAATGAAGTACTTTTTTGAACAAAAAAAAAATCTCGTCCATTGACAATTTATTTTTTTTCTTCACTGTGTTAAAAATGAAAAAATTTCGTTTTTTTAATAACTTTTTTATTTCGAAACGTATCGATTTTTGAAATTTGGACAAAATGTAGATCTTATCTTACTAATGACAATTATTTCATCAAAAAGTTTTGTTTAGATTTTAACGTACAGGGGGCGCTGGTAATAATTTAATTTAAAATTTAACAATTTTTAAAGGGTAAATCTTTGAAGAAGCAACTTTGTTTTATAAATTTGAGTTTAACACGTTGAAGTATTGATATTTGACTATTATTTGATATACGAGTATTAACTTTACTAGTGCTGTTTTTGAATAAAAAAATAATAATTTTTAAGGAATTAAACATACAATTACGATACCTACTTTTGCCAAATAAAAACCTTGTTAAACAGCTTTTGTTTAGAACTATTTAAAAAATTTGAAATTATTAATATAATATAATAATATTATTTTGTAAATAAAAACATGCAACTGTCCCATCCGTTACGGGTGGAATGGCCCATTATCAGTAGCAGTATTCATAAATGTTTAATTTAGTACATTTTGTCATTTTTATACAAATATTGTTGTATCTTTTATTAATAATTAAGTATAGCATAACACATAAATCCAGTTTAATATACAGGGTGTTGCACGTACGTAGTCCGTTGGAGGTTTCTAGGGAATCGCGAATGACATCGATTTAAAATTTTAATAGCGTAAATTATTCGATTTAAACTTTTTTCTTAAATTATTTTGAACAAAATAATACTTCCTGTTTTACGGGTATTGTCTTTAACTTTGTTATTTTAAACAGGATACCTCATTTATATTTACATTTTTGAATTCCTATACCTAAAGTCAATATTTTCGAGTTATTAATTTATCAATCAAATATTTTAATTAATTTTAAACATTAACCCACATGTAGAAGTTTGTTGATACAAATTTGTATTGAAAATATTAAAAATTGTTAAATGTCACTGAAATTTTAACTTTAGGTTATTATAATACCAATCGAAAGATTCTTTAATTTTCTAGTTGATTATGTAAAATCATACAGGGTTTTATATTTATAATAAAAACTTTATTAAATTTTGAAGTTTGCCTAATTTCAAGTGGTTTATCTCAAGCTATTTGTTGAAAAACTTTTAAAAAATTAAATTATTTAAACAATGTTTTAATTCCAAAAAATCCAACCACATGTCAGCACCTAATAACAAAACAATAAGAGGCTATTATTGATTAACGTGCATTTAGCATAATTTTAACGAAAAAAATTAATATCTTTGAAAACTATTGACTTAAGGTATAGTCTAAATCAAATTGTATACGCTATTAAAATTTTAATTCCATATCGTTTGCGTTTCCCCAGAAACACCCTGTATAGCATTATATTAAATATAAAAATGCAAAATAACTAATTACAAAAAAGCGAAAAACAACTGAATAAAAAATATAAATATATCTAAATAGTCGATCGCAACATAATAATAAAGTCGCTATTCTAATTTATTTATTGGGTAAATTTTACTTTCCTCAGTTTTGAATTATTGCTTATTGCTTATCGAGTAAAAAATAAATTGAAGCTTGGTTATGGAGCAAAAAATAAAATTAAAGTAGGTTATAATTTCTAACTTGCTGACACTGCCTATAAATATTATTTAGTTTATTCATTTTAATAAATTAATGTTTTGAGTTATAAACTGAAACGCAATCATCATTTGCGACTTATAAACTGAACTGTCCTATTATCTTTCATGCTTTCAATGGTAGGTTACCATAGAAAAAAGTCTATGATGCCTACTATGAAAAAATTTTAAATGTTATATATAATATATTATATATAATGTATAATACGTAATATATAATACATTATCTTATAAAACTAAATAAAAGAATATAAACTTTGAAGGCCTAACTTAAAAATGATGTATCTCGTAGAAACATAATTTGCATATAGAAGTTTATATATCAAATAATATTTAATTATCAGTACTTTAACATGATGTACTCAAAATTAGAAAAGAAGGTTGCTTCTTCGATTTTTTACCCATTTTTACCCCTTAGAAAATGGTAAAATTTTAAATTAAATTGTAAATCTAAAAAAAAATACGTCAATGGATGAAATTTTTTTTTAAATGCACGATTTAGATGTAGAAACAAGGTTAAAAAAAGATATTCAACTCTGGCATCACTTGCAAACAAATGTCAAAAATTTGTTCGATTTTTACGCGAAACCATGTCCCTACACGTGAAGAAATTTCGTTTCAGTTTTCTGAAGATGACCTCAAGCATATATTGCGTCAGTTGTCATAGGTCAGGAACAACTAGTGGCGGCCCAAAATTTTTACTTTGCTTATAAAAATTGTAACGATTTTTTTATTAAAAGAAAATGGCACTACTGCCAAAATGATAGAGGAAAAAGTTTCTTATTTTGGCCTTAAAGGATGGCAACTTATTTGGTGACACCCTGTATAAGGTATTTTTATTTGTCGCCTCAAAACAAACATTTATGCATATATGCACGTTTTTCCCAGCGAACGCCTCAGTTGTGCCAAAGCTTTGCTATTGTGCGAGAAGGACAAAGCCCCGCGTTTTGTGTATAGTGTGCCTTGGTACTTAACGTGAGCCATTCAAAGGACTCTTGAACGTCTTACGAAGGAATATAGATGGAGGGTAAATGGTGGATGTAAGCGGAAAAGTGCCAACAATGACAGATTCTCGATTCATCGAAATTTACTATTGCCTTCAAGTAAATCCTGAACTTTTGCCAGTCAACAGTTCTAAGCTTTATAAAACCACCCAAGTGTTAACTTTGCAAAATGATTACTTAGTTATTGTTTTCTACTCTTAAAATTATAAAGTAAAACATTAAAGCTATTTGTACTTTAATGTTCTGTTACTGCAAGCTTAAGACTTTTTTTGAATCAAAAAGGAACATCCTTTTATTTCCTTCACTAAAAAAAAGCGGTCAGCGGTACCCATGGTTATGGTAAAATAGGCGCCAACCAGTAGAACCTTACTTGCTACCATTAAAGAATGGTAATGAGTTATTATTACGATTTGACATTACAGCAAAGTGATCGTTACCACTACTGCTTTAATTAAATTTTACCACTACGTGTTGTTATATAATAACCGTTTTATTAAAACCTTTTACCACTACACACTGTTGAAACTTACGACTACAATTTTCACAAAAATAAAAGTTAAATAAGACCTAAAAAAATCAGGAAATAACTAAATATAATAAAAAACACGGCGGATCCTTAAATTATCGCACAAATATCCTTAAATTATAGTACGAATATTTTTAGAGAAATTGAATACATTAATGCATCATTATGCAGTAAAAACCCAACCCAACCAATATATAAATAACAAGTGTTTGTTAATTTAATTTTTGTTTGTAGTTTTTTTTTCTTCTAAATTAGTGTTGCGCACACTACCTAGTGAATGTGAGAAGTAAAAACCTTGCCGGTAACGTAAAATAACTACCTAATTACAAAAGATCGAAAAACAACTGAATAAAAAATATAGATATATCTAAATAGCTGATTGAAACATAAAAATATAGTCTTTATTATAATTTATTTATTGGGTAAATAAACTCTCCTCAGTTTGGAATTAAAATTGAAGCTTGCTTATCGAGTAAAAAATAAATTGAAGCTTGGTGGTGGAGCAAAAAATAAAATTAAAGTAGGTTATAATTTCTAACTTGCTGACACTGTCTATAATTATAATTTAGTTTATTCACTTTTATAAATTAATATTTTAAGTTTATAGTACACTTATAAATTGAAACGCAATCAGTCGTTTGCAACCTATAAAGTGAATTTTCAATTTATTGCCACTAATAAGGTCTACATTTTATCTTAATTTCAAATCGATACGTTTTTAAATAAAAATGTTATTTCAAAATTTCGAAATTTATCTATTTTTAACACAGTAGAGTGACTTAAACCTGAAAACCACAGCGGTCAATGGACGCGAAACCATAGTTTAAGTAAATATGGTTTTGTAAGGGTATAAAATTAAATGACATCCTATAATAAAGCAAAGTTAAAACTTACAAGTGTAGGGGAAGGGGGGGGAATTTTGCGCGGTAGGTAATTTTACGCATAAACAATTCTTCCAGATATAAAGTAAATAATACATTTTTTGAATGTTGCAAACTTGGAAACGTTGCTTTGGGTATACGGGGACTAAAGTGTACCGCAATTAAGCTTGTAGCTTTTAGCTAGTGACCATGGTCACTAGCTAACTGTGATACATGTACGTTGATCTAAAAATCCATGTCGTTTCCGCTACGAGTTAAGTTTAAATTTCTGTCCAATCGCTTAAATGTTTATAACACAACTTTATATGGTCTTTCCTCGTAATCTGGTGTATGTTTAAATTGTTCAGGTTAACTTTTGGAATGTTTTTTAGTATCACAATATTTTTCTTGCAAAGGGGGTAATTTTACGCTGAAAAATTGTGGTAATTTTGCGCTGCAAAATTTGGCTTTTGGTACAGGAGCCTAGATTGTTCAGCATAAACAGTTCCATTTGGGCACACGCGGAGTGTAGCGAAAAAAACAACCCCTAAAACTACATATGTGACAACTGCTGCATGTAGACCCTCTTATTTCTAAGAACAAAAATTTTGTTTTTAGTTATTTATTTTTGATTTTGTTTGTTTTGTTTGTTTCATAGAGAAAATAGTTTTGTTTTATTTTTATGTTTTAATATAATAATATTATAGAAATAAACGGTTTATTTAGATACCTACAAATCTTTTTCTATACAGCGCAAACTTTCCCCCTATGATGCGCAAAATTACCCTGATAGGTGGGTAATTTTGCGCAAATGCATTATTTAAAAAAATGTAGTTTTTGCATACCAAACAATTTTTTTTTATAAATTGCTCATTATATACACATAGTAAACATAGTAGACTATCGCTGGTATTAATTGCAAAATTTCACATTTAAACTTAACAAAGATACTAGAGATTTTGCTTAGATGCGCAGAATTCCCCCACCTTCCCCTAATAGGCGTTATTAGGTTTTGCTAGGTCTATTGAAGTAATAGGGTTCTGATAATAATTAACCGTTGTGATAACTCCCATAAACCCAAACGTCTTTTCAAAGAGTTTGATAAAGATTTCAAGAAGTGGAGATTCGTAAAATTAGCCGGTGACGGTGTAACATCCGGTGGATTGTTCCAGGTAAACCGGACTCGCTGACGAACTGCACGATCCTGAATCAGACGGCCGAATCGCTGCACGTTGAGTGCATAGAGGGCTTCGACGGCGGCCTTCAGCAGGAGTTCATCATGGAGGTGTACGACACGCAAACGCGCAAACTGGTGAGCAACGTGACGTCCCGGAACCCGGTGTTCACGGTGGGCGGGCTCGAGTCCGGGCTGGGCTACGACGTGGGCCTCTACGCGGCCAACAAGAAGGGCCGATCCGGGGTCTCGCACCTCGACGCCTTCACGCTCAAGTCCGCGGAAAAACACACAGGTGAGATTTACTTTGATTGTGTTAATCTGCATCAGTGTAAAGATTGGGGTGATTCATTTCCGCAAAGTTTTTGTTTTCTTCGGTGCTCAAGCAAAATATTAATCTGCATATAGGAAAAAAAATTCTCAACAAGTTTGAGCTCTTTTTTCAAATTTCTAATGCTTACCCATTTTTGACAATATTGCAAATCGGTTTAATACACCTTATGGGGAATTTCACGCTCTTTAAAATTGCTTTTGAGTTTTTTTTTGTAACTCGCATTGGTTCACCAGTAGGAGTCGTCAAAGGACAGTTTTTGAAAAAAATCGTTTTTTAATTTTTTCTAACAAACCGCAAAAAGTAGGGAGAAAAAAGGGCTGAATCATAAAAAAAAGTTATCCAACCAATATTTAATGAATTTACAGCCATTTTTATAACTGAAAACGTAAGAAATTGATAATTACCAACTCATAAAGTTATTTAGATTGATCTTTTCTATTTATTATCATTATATTTCCCTACATTAAGAAGTTTTTTAAAATTATTGATTTCTCACTTATAATGAATATAAAAACAAAAGATAAATTCATAAAACAACAATAAGAAAATTGTAACGTGGATTTTGAAATTTTTCAACATTTCTGTCATATAGCAAAAAAATATAAATGAAGATTATTTAATTTTTTGAAGCGAAATTTGAAATATGTTACATAACCTTCTGTATATTCCGATTAAAGTTTTGTTGTTTTTTTATGAATTTATGTGTTGTTTTCATATTCATTATAAGTGAGAAATCATAATAATTTTAGAAAAGTTCTTAGTGTAGGGAAATATAATGATAATAAATAGAAAAAATCAATCTAAATAACATTATGGGTTGGTATTTATCAATTTCATACGTTTTCAGTTTTAAAAATGGCAGTAAATTTATTAAATATTAGTTGGATAACTTTTTTTCTCACTACTTTTGGCGATTTGCTCGAAAAAATTTAAAAAAACGATTTTTTTTAAAAACTGTCCTTTGACGACTCCTACTGGTAAACCAATGCGAGTTACAAAAAAACTCAAAAGCAATTTTAAAGAGCGCGAAATTCCCCATAAGGTGTATTAAACCGATTTGCAATATTGTCAAAGGTGGGTAAGCATTAGAAATTTGAAAAAAAATATATATATTTTTTACATGCATTTTAAACGGTAAAACTTTAAATTTAAATAGTAAGTGCTTAAAATTAATATTAAGAGCTCAAACTTGGTGAGAATGTTTTTTCCTATATGAGACATTCTTTTACATATCGTACGGATTACAGAAAACATATTTTTTCAAATTTTTAAAATGACTTAATTTTTTTTTACAGCATCTTTTCATAAATTTAGCCGACCCCTATATCGGAATTTTTGCAGAAAATTTATTTTTCCAAAGATATATTGATTTAAACTTTTGATAAAATTTGAAAAAATGCTGAATTCTTTTGTACTTAAAATTAATTATCTCCGGTTCTACTGATCGGATCGATTTCATTTTTTTTTTATTTTAAACCATATTACATAGTCTTTTTAGATAAATATTTAAAAAGTTTGTGTTTTGTTTATTATATAAAAAAAAATATTTTTTTTTTGTATAAACAGATTTTTTGTGTTTGCCCCCTCTATGAAAAAAAATTAAAAAAATACTGTTCTATGCACTATTTATTACTCTACAAAATGAATTTTTCAGAAAAATGGAGACTTTTTTGGATCGGAAGATATTAAATATTTTCGAGCGCGTGACCAGTACAAGCCGTAAGGGGGCATCCATTAATTACGTGAGGCGTTTAGGGGAGGGAGGGGGTCAAGCCAAATCTCATCAATTCTCACGTAAGGGAGAGGGGGGGTCTCGGTAAATATCACGTAATTTTTAACAAAGTATGTTTTTTTAATAAATCCAACAGAATCAAGCAGTTTAACGTATAAACATTAAAAATAAGCATTTTTTAAAATCTCACGTGAGATTAGGGGGAGGGGGTTGAGCCAAATCTCACGACATCTCAGCAAGGGGGGAGGGGGTCAAAAAATCGCTAAAATTGACTCACGTAATTAATGGACACCCCCTAATCAGACATCTTCGAAACGCTAACACATTTAGGATTAGTGATGCCGCCGATACGAGAGATTCTCGCATCTCGTCTCGTCTCGTCTCGACGAGACGAGAGGGAGATTTTCTCTCGAAAAAAGGCTCGAGACGAGACGAGAGAATGCCCTCTCTCGCTCTAGAATTTCTCGTTTCTCTCGATCTCTCTCGTTCTCTCGATTATTCCGGTAATAAGTAAACAATTTTTTTACATAAAAATTTTAATTTTGCGATATTTATTTGGACCAATGAGAACATTATTCGCATTTCATAATAAACAAAATTTGTTCCTGTATAACGTTTTATTATTTTATAACACAACTTAAGGTTAACCAAGAAAAAAATTACTAAAATAATATTAATTTTTAAAATTTACCCTGTATAAGCACATTTATGGCACTCCTTATACTATTAAACAACCTGTATGCTTAATAAGCATTACTTATTCAATGAACTTATCAACAACATGTGGTTTTTGAGGGGCTGATTACAAATTTGATATCCATTTCTTCAAAAAATAAAATGGCTAATCCAATATGACGAAAATTTGTCGTTCGGCTTTAATGGTTTGGGTAAAATTTAGTATTTAGATATTTATGGGGTCCCTGATTAAGAATTTGATATCCATTCAAAAAACAAAATTGCGGATTCAAAATGACGGACATGCGCAGTAGGTACAAGATGGTTGGATCTATGTGGAGTAGTTACATCATATAGACGCAGTAGTTTTCAGATGGATGGATGATTTGATCCATCCATCTGAAAACTACTGCGCCTATATACTACACTGAGAAAAAAAATGGGACAAATAAACTGTGTTGTTAATCCTTTTATTAATAGTGAATATATTGTTTATTACCTCTAAATAGTCGAAATAATAACGATAAATATAAATATATATGTATATATAAATATTTTTTTTATTTGGGAGCAATAAACTTTTTTCTCAGTGTTACAGTTACATCTATAGATGTAACTACTCCACATAGATCCAACCATTTGATTCAAATGTGCGACATTTTCGGGGTAAAAAAGTCTTACTTTATCAGTGTGGTCTTGGCACATTTTTTTTTATTTCCAGTTTAAATTTATATAGAAAAAATATAAACGAATACGTATTTAATTGCAAATAATTTTTGTATTCATACATAGGTACTTTTACCACGAGAGAAACGAGACGAGACGAGAGAAAGGCACTCTCGAGCGAGAAAAGAGTATTCTCGACGAGACGAGAGACCCATTTTCTCTCGCTGCACGAGACGAGACGAGAGAAGGACTTTTCTCGTCTCGTCTCGTCTCGCGGCATCACTATTTAGGATAGTGTAAACTCATACATCGTTTTAAAAAAATACCAGCGCTTTTTGTAAATTAATTCTGATTTTAAAGGTTTTCAATAATTTTAAATAAATTAAATTTTAAATAATACAAACTCCAATTAATGAGTAAATTTATTAACTGGCAGAATTGACATTTGCACAAATAAGTCACCAATTAAAAGATGTCGAATCATGGCACTCTTATACAAAATATCACGTCACCCGCCACATGCACTAATACGTTTGAATATTACGCGCTTGACAGTCCTGTCACGCGCTCGAAAATGTTTAATATCTTCCGATCCAAAAGAGTCTCCACTGTTCTGAAAAATGTATTTTGTAGATAAAGAAAAAGCGCATAAAATAGTATTTTTTTCCTTTTATTTTATAGAGGGGGCAAACATGAAAAACTAGTTTAAAAAATTAATCTGTTATTAACTCCCTATACCAAAAAAAAAAAATAATTTAATTTATTTATTTGAAAAGCCTATTCAATAAGGTTTAAAACAAAAAAAAAACAAAATCGATCCGATTAGTAGAACCGGAGATAATGGGTTTTATGTAGAAGAGAATTTATCGTTTTATCGCAATTCATAAAAACTTTATATCAACATATCTCTGAAAAAACAAATTTTTTACAGAAAACCTGATACACGTATCTGCTTATTTACTGAATAGAAGCGGTAAAAAAATTTTCATGCGAATCCAAACCCTGATGTCAAAATAGGTGTACGATTTGTAAAAGAATGTCTCATATGCAGATTAATATTTTGCTTGAGCACCGAAAAAAACAAAAACTTTGCGGAAATGAATCACCCTAATAAAGATGTTCCGGAAGAATCTAAACAATGGTGGAGCGAAAAAAAATAATTTTTTTCTTAGCCTGGGGGTGGAATTTGTAAACTATAAAAAAAGAAAATTTTTGAAAAAAAAAATTTTTACCCAACGTCTTGAGGTGGCCCATTGATTTTTTAAATTAAATTTAAGTTAAAAACGAGTGGTCGTAAAATTTTTTTCAAAAGTGTTCCGGAAACTGCGGAGTGTCCTCTTTCTTGCTTATTAACAGTTATGAACTTAAAAAAAAATTTGTGGTCATTATTGTTGTTTTTAAAAAAATTCCAAAATAGTAACATGCTTTTCTGAGGCAATAGAGCGAATTTCGAGTTGAACACGATCAAATTTGTTTATTTTTAGATAAATTTGAAGATTACAAGCCAAACAATTTTTCTTTTTATTCAAAAGAATTTTAACTTGAATTTAATTTAAAAAATCAGTGGCCTAGGTGGCCCACCTCAAGACGTTGCGTAAAATTTTTTATAGGCTACAAATTCCACCCCCAGGCTAAGGAAAAAAAATTTTTTTTTTCGCTCCACCCTTTTAGTAAACATACAGTATTTAAATGATTAATATTGATTATTAAGTGTTTAAAAAACTTTTCAACTTCAAATAGAAACTAATCAATTTCAATATGGAATGTAACAATTTCAAATTGGGATTAATAAACTTTTAATTGGTTACTAAAACTCTAAAAATGGAAATTAACAAAGTCAAATTGAAAACAAACAAATTCAATTTGGTACAACAATATTTTTATTACAAATGTATATTATTAATTGTAGGAAAAATAACCAATCTACAAAAATGTCATCGTTGTCAAAACTCTAAATCCTACATTAATGTTGTTTCTGTAACACCAAAATAAGATGATACCTAATTATATCTTACTATGAAGTGGCTGATTATGGGATATAAATTCGATTTTGACTTGTTATTATTTGAGGCCTGTCAGAGCAAAGTCAACAATCTCCCGTCAGACTAAAACTGAGTAAATTGAGATAATGGATTTTGGTATTTTAAATTCTAGATTTGTAATTTTTTTTATATATTATATTGAAATATTGTTGTTGTTAGTCTAGTAGCAAACAACAAGGTCTCCAGGATGCATAGTATAGGTGAAATCTATAATTATAAATTGGAGATTGCTTACTTTGATATGAATTGCTGGAGATTGCTCATTTTGTTGTAAACGTTTAAGAAGATTTAGAAAAGTAAACAAAAAAATAATTGTATTTTTTTCCTTTAATGGTTATAAAATTTAACTATACAAACAATGTGGGAAAATTCTGAACTGGACCACATAAATCTGAAGTTTCTTCTAAATCTGGGACCAGGTTGCCTCGTGCAAAAAAGTTTTTACAGTACAACAACTCATCATCTTCTTCCCACTTTGCTCCGTAATGTTTTACTTGCAATGTTTTGACATTATCAGCCTTTTCTTGCTTTACGTCTTATTATGATATAATAGCACAAAATAAACAAGATAACTTTTTTATGATTCTTAAAACAATAAAACGTATATATACCTATTTTAAATATATTTTTAGGTGCAATTTACTGCAATAGAACTTAACAGTATGTACCAGTAAAAAACACAAAATTAAATCTCTAAAATACGTTATAACATCAAATGTTAGTATATCGGGTGACACAAATTACTAATTTCTAATGGTGGAATTGGAGATTGTATACTTTGCTGCAAATCTATCAGTGAAGATTGTCGACTTTGCACTAAATGTCATTTTTAAAATAGGATTTTAGGCAAGATTTAGCAAATTTGCAGCACATAAACTTTATCATCTTATAGATAATTAGTTGAAGTACAGTCTCCGCCAAAAATCTAATTTTTGACCAAATGTGGAGATTGTCGGTTTTGCTATGACATGCCTCAATTTATGCTATTTTATCAAAAAGCGGCGGTATCAGGCATTTAGAAGATGTCTTTAGAACATTAAATGAAGATATCTTTAAGACGTCTATCAAAAGACGTCTTTCAGATGTTTTTTTTTAGATCTTCAGACGTTCAGGCATAATACAGACATACAAAAGACATCTTCAAGACGTTGTGTGCTATCTGGGTTTGAAATTGTTACAATCCAAATTGAAATTGATTAGTTCCAATTTGAAGTTAAAACGGTATAGAAAAAATAGTCACTAAAAGTACTCCCTAAAAATGAATTAGTCAATAATGACTAATTGTCATAGCGAAAAAGCAGCCACTAATAATTCTCGTCAAAAGCAATTTTTGTTCCGAACATTTAGCAGTCAATTTTCATGTAAAATTGAATCCGAGAATTGGCTGGTAAATGTTGGGGATACTATGGTATCTCATGGTATAAATAATAACTGTAGTATTTTTGACTAATTTATTTTTAGAGATAAAGGTTTTATATGAATATAAACTGAACAGGCTAAAACTTCATAATACAAAGAACCAATATTGGAATATTGAAATATAAAGTTTTAATGTTTTAATGAGATTAGAGTTGGTAAATTTACTATGAAAAAAATATGTTCGTTTTAATTGTTTTATTCATTTTGATTTTTTAAATGCTATTTTTTGTTCTCTTTTACATTGTTTCACTATTAATTTGAAATTATAACTTTGTTAAAGCTACAAAATTTCATTAAAATGTTCAATAGAAACAAAAAATCCTCAAAAAATAATATTTAATGGTTTGTCTTTATAGGTATATACAGGGTGTTTCACGTTCGTGGCCCATTAAAAGTTTCTGGGGAATCTTTAAACATTGTTTAAAAGATTTTATGTCAATTCTGTTCTTAAATAATTTGAAAAAAAAACGAAATACCTGTAAAAACAAAAATCATTGTAACTTCATTATTTCTAGAAATTTTGAAAATTCAAATTAGGTTTTTCATCCAATTTATTCGCTACTATATTTTTTGTTTCCACCACCACAAATTATGTAGCATAAATAATACTACATCATAAAGTCCATAATATATTAATAAAATGTAAAAAAAACAAGCAAGTGACAAGAATATTTTATGAAATACTTATACACCCAAAACTTTTTATTAAAAACTTTACCCTATTCGGTGCTTTCATTAATTAAGAACAATAATTGACTGGACAATAAATCAGCATTGAATAATTTAATAATCCACATACATACATAGTAAGGTACGAGTAGGTTGTAATCCCATGGGTTACAGAAATTTAAATATATGAAGGGACGGCCATTGTAATCTTTCCTAAACCAATTAAAGTTGAAATACAATCATCGGTAACATGTAAGCCCCTAATAAAGGTAATTTTAATTTAAATAAAATTCTTTGAATTCGGAAAATCAATACTCAATTAATGTCATTCTTATTTGCTTATTTTCAATCCAATTTAAATTAGAAAATTCTTTATGTAATTATGTCGTCCATTTACACTGAGATAAATAAAGTTGCGGGATATTTATCTCCACGCGGTCTATAATTTAAACTTTATTGTTGTCAACATTCGATAAAGAAATACCTTGTTATGGCCTAGGCCGATAAAATTTTTTATGAGGCAAGTTATTAGTTCGATTTTTTCTCGCTATAGCGGTATTATTTTGGCAAATTAACCTTTTTTTAAGAAATTAACGTACTAAACTGGTTTAATTTATTTATAATAAGCACTAATTTGTTTGTTGTACTGTTAATGTGTAATATTTTTCATTAAATTATTGTAAAATTAAATATGAATAATAAAACAAAAAGTGAGGTTAGGCAACCAAGAAAACGCACGATTCTTTTTCTACGATTTAAATTATCTTTAAGTTTATATTTGCTTTAAGTTTTCAGTTAAATTAAATGTTAAACACAGCTTAAACATTCCAAACAACCTATTTTTTAAATAAAACAAATTGAAATTAGATACCTACCTATTTATTAAACAATTAATTGAATTCAATGTAATAGCAAAAATCCATTTCTACTTAAATCATGTAGCTAGGTATTGTGAAACTATTACTGCTTCTAAAAGCAATAATAATTATTGTACATTTAATGTAATCTTTAGCTAATAAATAAATGAGATTCTAAAAAAGTGAGGTTAGGCCGCTTTGATGTTGAATTAAATTGACCTATATAAAGTGCTTTGAAGATAAAATGTTGTATGCCATTCAGCCAAGAAGTGCCTTTTTGTGCTTCGCTCAATTGTAAACCTTGAGCTTAGCACAAAAAGCCTTACTTCTTAACCTAATGACATCAATAACTATTTTTTTCAAGCGGCCATGATATAGAACCTTATATGCCTGTATAGAGATAGTTGAAGTGCGTCTTTTTCATTAGCGGCAGACAAAAAACTTAAAAAAGCCTAGGGATAGAAGTAAATCCATAGGTGTCTCAATAGACGTCAAATAATAAAATTAATTTAGAATTTCATACAAAGCAATCACGTTGTATTAATTATATTAATTATAATCGCACGGAATATTTAGTGATTATTTATTAAATTTTAATTGAACGAAATAAAGAACAACTAGTTTATTAGTATAATATTATGATGATAGACGAGTTGCCAATGTCGGAACTCCAAACAAATGTCAGTACGTCAAAATTAATTTAAGCGCAGCATTTTGACAGAGCAGGGTTTATTTTTAGTTTAGGATATTAATCGGCATTGTAAGTAAGGGTTATAAGTTTTTTTAGTTTTTATCAATAATTTCTTATGGTTTTAGCCAAAATTTTATACCACATGAGTTAAGAGTAAATAAAATAATTCCATTGCTTATCCTATTTATATTAAGCCCTTGAAAAAAAAATTGTATATGTTATTTGGAGTAGAAGCTCTTTTTGTGCTTCGTACAGTTGCCTGCCTCAGCTACGCTTCGGCCGTCAATCTCTGTACTCACCACAAAAAGAGTCGCTTCTACTCCTTATGACATAATCTACTAATTATTTACATATATTTTTTGTACCAAATAGAAAAGAAACGCTTAAAAAAACCCTCGCCCCCGGAAAATTGCACGATTACCCACCAAACCAGGTACTACCTTCGAGTGTATTGCAAAGTTTCCCAAGTTCAGCGAGACTTTTATTCGACCTATCTAATGCAAGTCTACGAAGCTAACTCGAGGGTGCTGATCGGTACAGCCACCTCGCAAACTCCGGAAGACATTACCATTAGTAACCTGCCCAGCGGGTACGGCGACTTGCTTTTGTTTGTGCGCACCATGGACTCAAAGTCCATCACGAGCGACGCTAATATTATTTACGCTCCTGCGGTACACTTTCAGACCGGTAAGAAGCTTTCAGTGTTGAATTTTGTGACTAACATGAGGTGGGGGATACTGACAAACACATATAGGTAGATGGCATTTGTATTTAACACAATATGGTAATTTAAAATTACCAATTTCATATCAAATCAAACAAAAAAGGTTACTTTTGTTTTTATTATTACCGATTTTGATTATTGGAAAAGTTCAAACCTATGGATTTTTAAAAATGAATAAATTTACCAATTTTGCCTCTACAGGCTCTTAAAACAACAGATATATCTCAGGAACTGCTTACGACATAGCACTAAGTAATAGCTTGTTTTACTTTATTCAAAAACACCATTTTTTTTTAATACACTCACAGGCAAAATAATCGATCCACACAAATTTTCGATGAATTTCAATCGCAAATTACTTTTTTATTTGATGTCGGATTTAAACGAATATTAAAGAATATTGTAGATAAATTAATGGACAATCGCTCACATTTTAAAAAATTACTAAAAAATAGACATACTTTTATAATATACATGTTTAAACAAAAAGATGTTTTTTACCATAAGTTTAAGACACTCTGTAGAGTGGCAAAACCGAATATTGTTCTAAATTATTTATCAAGTCACATCTATTCTTAACAGTTTTGTTTTTGGTTCACCTCGATATATTTATTTTTGTGGGAAATATAGATTTTTTAAGAAACATTGCAATTTCCAATATTTTTCTGTATGAAGAACTAAGGTTGCTATGGTCCATCCATAGGCTATGGAGAATGACAGTGACAGTTTTGTTGAATCATCCCATACTTGGAGATGTCATATACACCTTTCAAAAGCTATCAAATTGTTTTATGTAAATTAATGTGTTAATTTTTGAGGTGTCTTCTTACTTTTAAAAATGTCTCCGACTGATGTTGCCCTTTGTACTTTACTTCTTATGGCGTTTAAAACACTTGCCACCTATAGCTAATACTGCGACCGTCCATCCTGGATTAAATTAATGGATCTGGCAACATCAGTCGGGGACATTTCCATTTTTTAAAGTGAGAAGACACCTCAAAATTTAAACATTAATTTGCAAAAAACAATTTGATAGCTTTTGAAAGCCGTGTATGACATGTCCAAGTATGGGATGATTCAACAAAACTGTCACTGTCATTCTCCATAGCATATGGATGGACCATAGTAACCTTAGTTCTTCATACAGGAAAAATATTGGAAATTGCAATGTTTTTTAAAAAAAAACATATTTTCCACAAAAATAAATATAATAATGTAAACCAAAAACAAAACTGTTAAAAATAGATGTGACTTGAAAATTAAAACTTAATTTAGAAAAATATACGGTTTTGCCACTCTACAGAGTGTCTTAAACTTATGGTAAAAAACATCTTTTTGTTTAAACCTGTATATTATAAACGTACGTGTATTTTTTAGTACTTTTAAAATGTGAGCGATTCTCCATTAATGTATCTACAATATTTTTTAATATTTGTTTAAATCCGAAATCAAATAAAAAAGTTATTTGCGATTGTAATTCATCGAAAATTTGTGTGGATCGATTATTTTGCCTGTGAGTGTATATATACATATATCATGTGATACATCACCTAAAAGGGCTTCAAAAGACCTTTAAAACAAGGTTTTTCTGAATGCTTTGTGACAAGCACTTCTTGAGATATATCTGTTTTTTTAAGAGCCTGCAGAGGCATATTTCTAAATTTCTTAATTTTCAAAAATCCATAAAAGACATTTTGGTTTTTCGGGTTTTTCAATGGGAAGAGGAACTGCACCAAAATTCATCAAAATTGAAGATGGTGCCTTCAATTCAATGGTTGATTTGAAATGAAATTACCCAATAGTACTGTATTTTTTACTTTAGCCCTTATGTTTATCGTTACCTAACGTTTATTAACCCAGTGTTGACAGTTATGTCAAAACGTTGGATCATTTTTTTTTCAAAGACTTGTTTTTAACATTTGAACTATTTGCTTTTGCTAAAGCTAGGCAATAAAAGAACCCATACAGCACAAGATGTCCAGTGGACGTCAAATGGACTTACATTGGACGTTTGGATCTACTATCGCTAACAAAAAAAACTCATACAGCTATATTGTGGCTGTGTGAATAAAACTTTTCCGTCAATGTCAAGCTGACATCGAGCTTTGTCACATCCATTATGACTTTTTTAACAACATTTTCAACCAAACAATGCAGACGAACTCTGGCAAGCCATTGAAGCCATTTGGAACGAGATAAAGCAAGACGGCGATTTCCATGCTTTGCCGTTTGCGGGCAGTAATTGACAAAAACAGAGGGATGACGAAATATTATTTTTTTTTTCAAACTTCAACCTAACTTTGTATTTAATTTTAGACCTTTCAAATGTGACGTATCATGTTAAAAGCCATAATTACTCCGACGAAATGATAGAAAATCAGGAACACTAGATTTTTAAGCTGTATGAGTTTTTTTTGTTAGCGATAGTACAATGGCCGTCCGCTGGACGTCCAATGGATATATGTGCAGTGTGGGAACCCTCTGAAACGCGAAACGAATAAACGTCTTGACAATTACAGCGACGACTCCCGTGCTGCTGCAAATCACTCCCCTGCTGGGCGCCCTGATCGGCGTCGTGGCCGCCCTGATCCTGGTCGCCGTCATCATCGTGGCGGTGATACGCCTGCGAGGGGGCGGCGAGCGAGACGACAAGGACTACGACGACGGCGGCCTCTCGTCGGCCGGTCGGCGGTGCGTGGCGGCCAACAGCGACAAGGCCAGCACCGAGCCACTGAACAAGGACCTCAACGACAGCGTGGACAGCCTGGAGGAGAAGAACCCGGACATCATCCCGCAGAACAGCGCCGAGGACGAGTACCAGGACGAAGAAAGGGCCTTCGAGCGCCTAAACAACGCTCCACTCCGGGTCTACAGCAGGATGCAGAGCCCGAGCAGTCAGCCGAAGAACGGATGCTACGATTCTTACGGCAAAACGGTAAATATGCTTTGCAACTCGATTTACCTGCTTGCTTACTCTTCACGGTGCTGTTCTGAGAGGTGATTTTTGGACTTTCTGTGAAACCTAATTTTTTTTATATTCTTGTTAATTAGGTCATAACTAAAATTTTAAGACCAAAATAAAAAAAATTTGACGGTTTGAATTGTTTTAATTGGCTGTTTATTAAAAATATTATGCACTCTTTCAATTATCCAATTAAAACTAGCGATTTAATTTAAATATTTAATATTTGCATAACTAAAAAAAGGTTTTTACAATTTTTTTTTATATATTTTACTGTTTTGTTGCAATAAACGTTCAAACTTTAAACATTAACAACATTTAAAACTTTAAACGTGTATTACAACAAAACAGTAAAAGATAGACCTTTTTTTAGGAAATTAACTAATCTTTAATCTGATTTAAAAAGTTATGATAATATTTAAATAAAATCGCAAGTTTTAATTGGAGAATTGAAAGTGTGCATACATATTTTTAATAAACATCCAATTAAAACAAAATTAACCGTCAAATTTTTTTTATTTTGCTCTTAACATTTTAGTTATGAATTAATTAACAAGAATATAAAAAAAATTAGGTTTCACAGAAAGTCCAAAAATCACCTCTCAGAACAGCATGTCGGCAGCTTATCTAATTTATTGTTGATAGCGTTTCTGCTTGTGCTTTTAGTTTTCCATTCGATAAAATCGCTTTTCACTTTGTCGAAAACGAAATATTCTCTCGTACGTACGAAGCTTTTAACCAATCAAATAAAAAAGTCAAAATGTCAAAATAACCCTAAATTAAGTCTTGACAAAAATAATTACCGTTTATTTTTTCATTTAGAGGCGTAGATAAAAATTTGTACAATATACGTGTGATAACGCTTTATTAACGTACTTTTGCGATTGCCCAACTCGTGCTACGCACTCGTTGGGCAAATTTCGCATGCGTACGTTAATAAAGCTCTTATCCCACTTATATCGTAAATAACTATTAACTCATCCGTCACTACACATCTGTTTTTGACGCCTAACGTTATTTTAAGATCATTTATTTTCAAATATTATTATATTTTTTCAATAAGATTGTAAAACGGAAATATTACGTTCGTTATGTGAATAATGTTTTACTGTTAAGTTTTTATTTAATAAGAATAACGGAAAAAAGGACAAAAAAAATTAAAACTAGAACTAAAAGGACCTGCTTTTTTAAAACTATACATTTTAATGTATATTAGGGCTAGTATATTCTTTTTATAAGGTATATTTACCTACATTTAAATTTATTAGACAGCTAACTGTTAAAGTTACAATTGTTGACATAATTGTAACTATGACAATTAAGCATTAGGTAAATTTAGTAAGTGAATATACTGACACTTAATTTCTATTTGTCGCAAAATCAATCCGTTAAACGTCATTAAAAACCGTATGCATGAAAATTAGAACATTTCTTATCGGACGATTTTATTGAAAAACTGACATACGGATGACGGACAAACGGATACATGAAAATTTAGCTTTACAACTCGATTTACCTGCTTGCTTACTCTTTTCACTTCGCGCTAAATTGTAGGCAGCTTATCTAATTTATTGTAGATAGCGTTTCTGCTTGTGCTTTTAGTTTTCTATTCAATAAAATCGCTTTTCACTTTGTCGAAAACGCAATATTTTCTCGTACGTACGAAGCTTTTACCTTTTATGCAGTTTAGTTTACAATGTACGTAATACATTTATATATAAAATATGATAGATAAACTATAAAAAAGAACGTCTGAAAATACGCATTTTTAAATTTTCACCTTAATTAGCAAATTCAGATTCACGGAGGATAGAATCAATTTTTGTAAACCTACATAAATGGTTATAAAAATTATTTCTTTTAATTTTTAATAATATTTTATATTTGGATGAGTTTAATTTACTTAGTGAACTGATATTTTTAGTGTGCTTTTACTACCTCAGATATTTGAAAACATAGGTTAACCTAGAAACAGTCACGGAGGATAGGTTTTAGACTTTTAAAACATTGTAAAAAATAATTAATTGCGGTTAAAAATCTGGAACTTGAGCTGTAATATCTACTTAATTATGAAAGATCAAAACACAATAAAAGTGTAGGTCAAACTCATTTGGTTTTATTAAATATCACGGGGTAACACCATCGGGGGACATTTCGTAAGATTCACCCATGTATATGTATTTTATTCGCAATTGCAATTTTGAAGTGTACCCACTCTCTAAAAATGAATTAGTCAAAAATGACTAATTACTACAGGTATGACTGGCTGCTTTTTTACTCATACCATGGTTAACCATGGGACACATGGTCTCCCCAACATTTAACAGCTAATTCTTATGTAACATTGTCCCCTGAATCCGAAAATACCGTCAACAATTTTGAAAGTAGATCAGTTTTTGAGATATACTCGATTCCATATTATATGAAAAGTTTTAACTGTTTTACTTTTTTACTTTTTACTTTTGACTAATTTACAATTTTTAAAAGTAGAAATTGAGGTTAGAGCTGTCTGACAGAAGTCGAATTTTATGATTGGTTCAAATCACAGTTTAATAATGAAATCGACCAATCACCAAAAAACTCGTGTTTTTTCAAAACTCAGTATCTTATTTTCTCTGAAATTGATGTTTTTTGTTGTTAACTTGTTGCAAAAATGTATAAAATTAATATTTTAAGAGATATGACACTGAAGTAATTGATTAGGCCTACAATGTGTAAGGTCAATTTTTTAAAAACTTTTTTAATAATCCAATCAAGCATACTTTAAATTAAAGTCATTTAGATTAGTAAATAATAAAAATATTTATATTGATATTTGACAAAAACATTTGAAATTTGTTATGTAGAATATTTAAAGAATTAATTAAAATAATTTTTGCTAAAATCTTAAATTTTGATTAATTATTATATAGGTCTAGGCAATAATCAATTACTTCAGTGTAGAGTGTTGCCGACATTAAAGTTTAATTTTTATTTTTAATAATATATTATAATATTTAGAATATTGCTCTTCTTGGATACAAATTCTTAAAAACTATTTTATCTATTTTGCGTTCATAATGACTTCATTAAAATATCGCTTTCGGTGCTGTAATGAGATACTTTATCCCACCCAAAATTTTGATTTTATAGGTTGGCTATACTTTAAACAGCATAATATTTTGCATATTGGATATAATATTTTTATGATTTTTCTAGTACTAACGAGACTTTTCTGGCAATAAATTTTGTTTAACACCAAGGAAAATTATTTTTTTTTCTTTAACATTAACAGCCGCTTATTGTAAAGAATAAGTAAATTAAGGACGGCATGGCGAATCGATTTTGACATTAACTGTCAAACCAATGACTGTGATACCAACTATCTAAAGTAAAATTCTCTTGTTAAATAATAATGTGAACAAAATTTGACATTTTGACTGGCGCTCTATACAAATATTTAATTTAAATCATTTTTAAATAATAATAAGTATTTTTCGAAGAAGAAGTATAGTATGCAACTCGTTTATAAACTTTTGTAGACAGTTATTTAATTAAAAACTCCCTCGTGCCTAATTAAAATTCGTGACTAAAATCAAACTTAATAAATAATAAACTCGAATGCGTAGTTTCCAAATATGCAATAAAAATGCATTAATTAATTATTAAATTATTAATTTTAATCCAAGTATAAAGAAATAATACCTTTGTTTGCATTAATATAGATAATACAAAATAGAGATAATAAAAAAACTGGTTTTGTTTCCTTGAAGATAATTTTTGATTACTAATTATAATTAATAATTATAATAATTAATAATTATTACCAGGATAATGAGTACCTATTTATTTTTAACACGTTTTTAAGCAAAGTTTATTTTTTAAATATAAATTCGTATACAGTAAAATTTATTTGTAGTGAAGTAAAGGAAGATAAAAACTTTATAATCTTGAAAAACAGCTATTTTTTTGCTGTACCAGTATTATCATTTATTTCGCTAGTATTTAGTTAACCTTTCTAAAGGCTTAGGGTGCATTTCTAAAAACTTGTTTTGCATGTGCTTTTGCTTCTCATTCATTTCTAACAAATCTGGATGTGGCTTCGCTTCTAACCAGGGTTACGGTAGCAAAACTATTCTTTCCAGAACGACGAAATAACATACGCTGAACTAACTATCACAAATCAACAGATGCCTCACGTGATTTACAATCAGCAGCCGATACCGATGACCCTGATCAGGAGGCAAGACCCTACGGTGTACGCGCAGCTCGACATGAAGAGACTGAACCCCTGCCTGCAGCCCCTATCTCCCCCCCACCCCTCCACCTTCCACACCCTGCAGCACCCGCACCTTCCTTCCTACATGCCCAGGACCATGCGGGAAGACCAGAATTTGATGCAGCACGACGCTATCAGCGCCGAAACGCCCCTGATTGCCCCAAGGGGGGACAGCGTAAGTTTAAGTTTTCCCTAATATCACTATGAGCAAAATTTGATTCTAAGAACCTTCTAAGAAGATATGACCCGGAATAATGGAATATTCTTATTGCCTTATTGCTAAGAATGTTCTTAGGGACTTTTAAAACATTCAATTAATGATGCAATTAGATTCTTAGAAGCTTCTTAAAACCTTCCTAAAAAGCAATCTAAGAACATTTTAAGAATACATTTTTGGAATGTTCTTAGAAGGTTTCTTATGGAGCTTCTAGGAAGCTTTTGAGAATATTTCCAAATATGTCAGATACCCACGTTCTAATATGTTGGATTCTACATTCATAAAATTCTTCAGGAGGCGACAAATACGCCTCACTGTCATAATATGACAGTGAAATGTATTTGTCGTCCCCTTAAAAAAATTTGCGACATATAAATATATATTTATTTAAAAATATTAAATAAACAATTTGACCTCTGAACCATAAGTTGTATGACATTATTTCATAAAAAGTAAAATTGGAAAATTTGTGGGATAAGTCAGATTAGATTGAAGTTGAAGATAGTTAGGATTATTATACATAAAAATGTTAATTCAGAAATAAAAAATCGGTATACAAATTAA